CCCCAAGAGGCCCCCAAGAGGCCCCCAAGAGGCCCCAAGAGGCTCCAAGAGGCCCCCAAGAGGCCCCTCGAGGAGCCCGAACGACTCACACCAGGACGAGGGGCCCGAACGACTCGCACCACGAAGAGCCCGAACGACTCACACCATAAGGAGGGGCCCGAACGACTCACACCAGGACGAGGCGCCCGAACGACTCACACCACGAGGAGCCCGAACGACTCACACCACGACGAGGGCCCCGAACGACTCACACCACGAGGCGCCCGAACGAGTCACACCAGGAGGAGGGGCCCGAACGACTCACACCAGGACGAGGGGCCCGAACAACTCACACCACGAGAAGCCCGAACGACTCACACCAGGAAGAAGAGCCCGAACGACTCACACCACGAAGAGCCCGAACGACTCACACCAGGAAGAAGGGCCCGAACGACTCACACCAGGACGAGAAACCCCAAACGACTCAAATCACGAGGAGCACTTTCTCTCCCTCCCCCTCCGCCTCGTCCTTCTCCCGCTCCCCCCCACAAGGAGGATTCACCAGGAAGCGGGAGGAAGGAGGGACAGGGGAGATATACGGAGCCCAGCGGACACACGCCTGAAAAACACAACTGTCGACATGCTTCGCGAGAGCTGCTGCTGTGAGATGGGCTGGTGGGGATACGCGAAGCGTAAAGAATTTGTATCTGGGCCTCTTCGCACCAGCCTGGCGATGTCACCACGGCCCTCAATATGGTGACGATTTGGTGCCCATCCTGTGGCCGCCTATATGATATCTGTAACACCAAGGTAACGCCACTTTTAGCTGGGTTGGGCCCGACCCAAGCAGGGACGCAAGACCCATGGAAGCCGAAGTTGGGATTTTTGGGGCGGCGGACGAAGAAAACCCCAAGGACGCAAGAGCAAGGACGAGCAAGGACGCAAGGGTACCCTGAGCAAAGTCGCGCGTCCTTATTGGGTTTTTGACTGTAAATAACGACGGGAGGATTGGGCGGCCACATCCGAGCGACGATCAATAAGGGGTCCTACGCGAGACGACGCAGCGGCGGTACGCGGCGGCCTACGCGGGCCGCAACCGCGGCAGGCCACAGTGGAGACGGAGGCGCTGACGCGCGACCTTGCGCAGGCAGCTTACAATGTTGGCGCAGACGGCCCCGGTTGCTTGCGTCGCTGGCCTGAACCCTACCCCTGCAGGCCGGACTTCGGATGCACCGGACGGGGTTCAGAATGCGACGGATGTCTGCTGCGAGGTGAACCGGAGCGGGGATGTCCGGTACGTGCCCCTGTGACGATCGGCCTTGCAGGGGTAAGTTCGCAATTGGTAGCAGAAGGCTTTGGCAATATTCGGCCTCGGGGGGACTTCACCAGGCCCAATGGCAATCAAAAACAACTCTTGGACACGAATTCACAGGGGCGATCAATGGAGGGGGCCCCCTCTTGGGCCCTGAAGAGGCCCTCTAGGGGCCCTGAAGGGCCCCTTTTTCGACAGCCCTCGCTGCCCCCGCACTAATCGCCTCCCCCATTACCACCAAAAACTCGGGTCGAAAAGCTGGTCCCGGAGGTAAGCTCCAGGCTTTCGGTGCATCACGCTGCGAAGAAAAACAAGTCGTGGGTCCGAGAGGGGGGAATCGAGAATAAAGCATCCATACGTTGGAGGCATCGAACCAGGAAGCCGGAGCGAATCGGGACCTGCGTCGTACCTGGCCGCCTCGGTACTTCGCGCCCCACTCGCCAGAGGCCCGCCCCCTCCCGGTCTCCACCAACTCCACAGTGATCGCGTCAGTAAATTGCATCGGTGTCGTCCACTTGCCGTCGCTCGGACGTCGATTTCCCGTGTATTGTTCGGTTTCGTGCGTGTTTTTTTTGCTCGTGTCCAGGATGGTCCTCGATGGTTGTCGCCGAGAAAAAATGGGGGCGTCTGAGAGGGCGGTTCGCAGAATCATATGGCCCGAGGCACGTGTGCTGCCGAGGGAATCCCACTCGACGTGCTGAAGCAAGACTTGGGCGTGAACTAGTCTCGCCATCGCTCGGACGTCCATTCCCTCTGCTTTTTTCGGTTTCGTGCGTGTTGTTGCTTCGCCAGATGATCAAGGATGCTCCTCGATGGTCCTCGCCGAAGGAAAAATGCACACGTCCGAGCGATCAGGGGGGGGGGCGGAGGGGGAACGCGCACGCTCCGTGTCCTTTCTGGGCCCCAGGGGGGCCCATTTGGGGCCCCTCTTCTCTCTCTCTCTCTCTCTTCCTCTTCCCACCGCTACAATTTTCGACGCACTTATGCCTTCATCATCTCGCTCGGTTGCCTATGGCGCAGCTTCGAATATGCCGACGCGTCCTTCAGGATGCACGGCCGTTGCTTGCTTGCTTGAAGCCCAAGGGGTGCACCGTTCTCCACCCCCGCACGTGCCCCCCCCCCCCACTGCTCAAGGACCGGAAGAGAAGAGGGCCATGACATCGGGGCAACTACCATGGCTCTGGTCACAGTTCCCACCCCCCCCAGTCATTACCCCCCTCTTGGCTGCCGTCACAGTTTCCACCCCCCGCTCAATCATCACCCCCCTCCTGGCCGCCCCCGACTGCAGCGAGACGGCAGGGTCCAGCGGGCCTCGGCTGAGAACGAACCAGCCAGAACCAAAGCGGCGACAGGGAGAGAGAGAGAGAGAAGGGGACTGGGAAGGTGATAGTGGGAGGCGAGGGAAGGCCCAGAACATCGGCGCAGGATGTTGATTCCAAACGCCTGAGCGCAGCAGGACACGACATCACTGTGCGCCCCCAGAACACGCCCGCCGTCCTACAGGCGGATTTCGGTCGGAAGACTGACGCCAGAACATATCCGACAATAGGCAACAAATGCTAGGAAAATAGTCCCCTGACTATTTTGACTATTTTTGGATATTCCCCCTCGACTTACAGCAACACCGAATCGGGAAATCGGGTCGAATCGGAATGCGCGTCGGATGGGCCCCATCGGATCGGCTGCACCAGGATGCACAACAGTGCCACGCAAGCCTCGGACCGCATCGGATGGCCGGGAAAGCGCTGCCGACCAACCGATACCGCATCAGATCGATCGGATCGACGTGGGCCCTGTGCCTGCCAACGGCCTGAGCAAAGGCCCATCTGGAGGCAGACTTTCGCGACCAGGCGAGGGTGAGGGCTGCGGCGCACGGGAAGGGAAAGATAGCAAAAGTTGGCGGCTGGCGAATCAGCTGCGTGCAGCTGGTACGCCTGGCGCCTCCCGGCGCCGCCAGAGGTGGCAATGCATCGATGAGTAAGCCTAGGCGGCGGGCCCGAAAACAGCTGCACGCAGCAGACTTCGTACCCCCCCTTCTTTCCGAACATCCGCCCTTTCGTCCGACCCGCAAGGGAGAACCAGCCCGAAGCACCCCACCCTGGCGACCCCGCCGAAAACGGGATCCTGCTCGCCGCCAGCATCTCCAGGCTCTCGTCGACCGGCAGATTGTCCTGCCCCCACTCTCCTGCTGCTGATGCTGCTGCTGCTGCTGGTCCTCCTCCTCCTTCTCCTTCTCCTCCACCTCCTCCTCCTCCTCCACCTCCTCCTCCTCCGCCTCCTCCTTCTCCTCCTCCTCCACCTCCTCCTCCTCCTCCTCCTCCACCTCCTCCTCCTCCTCCTCCTCCTCCTCCTCCTCCTCCCAACTCTCCTCCTCTGCCTCCTCGAGCCCCTCCCACATCCTCACGCCCTCACCCCTGAACAAGCAGGCGCAGGAGGGCGAGCAATCAGCAGTGAGGAGGAGGAGGCGGAGGAGGAGGAGGAAGAGGAAGAGGAGGAGGAGGAGGAGGAGGAGCGGAGAAGGAAGAGGAGAAGGAAGAGGAGGAGGAGGAAGAGGAGGAGGAGCGGAGGGGAGGAGAGGAGGAGCGGAGGGGAGGAGAGGAGGAGCGGAGAGGGGAGAGGGGGAGGGAGAGGTGAGGAGGCGGTGTGGGCGAAGGGGGGGAGGAAAATCAGAGAAGGGCGGAGTGCAGTCGGTTAAGGAGGCCGTCGTCATTGTTCTCGCCATCCCCCCGCCCATCCAGCGGGCAGGTGAGCTTCACGTGGAGCCACTTGGCGATGCAGTGGGAGTGGAACATGTGGGCGCAAGGGAGCCTCGGATCGCCAAGCGGCACTCGAAGCTTTCCCCGAAATGCTTCCCACCCATCTCTGGCATGAAAGGGAAACGGCTCCTGGACTCTGGGGCCTTCCCGAAGGACAAGTCCTTCATCCAGAGGTGTTCATGAGGATGAATAGGAGGAGGAAGAGGAGGCGGAGGAGAAGGAGAGGATCGGCGGAGGACAAACCTACCTTTAGTAAACCTCCCTTTAGTGAAAACGGCCTGGGACCAAAACCGACGGACGTGGACCCGCAAAAACGACGGCCGCGACGCCCTCTCGCGGTTCGAAAACTGCCAATTCCTCAAACGACGTGTCAGGGTAGAAGGTCTATCTACCTCCGAGAGGAGGATGAGGAGGAGGAGGGTCGTGGGGCCCAGGACGGCCCTGGGAACACGAAAAGGGCCCAACACCTCCGGGACCCCTTGCCCTCAGGAGCCTTTCCTCTCATGGCGACCTCCTCTCCTCTCCTCCCCTCTCTCCCGGACTTCGAACTGCGGATGAAGGAATCCGGCCCGGATGCGCAGAGGGCATCTAAACACCACCACCGTGTGTGGTCAGGGCCGTCCTGGGCCAACGCAGGCATACGCCTCCTGGCCGAGGCAAAGGGGTTCTATACACCATCAAGGGGCCCAGGATAGCCCTCGCCAGCCGCGGCGGTGGTGTGTATAGATTCGGGCGTTGGCAGAACTGGGTTTAGTGGAACCTGGTTTAGTGATGTGTACCGGGGGGCGCTCCCCCCGCCCCGTTCCGCTAACCGGAACTGCCGTCACCCGAGAAACACCAGTTACGGCAAACCTGGTTTAGTGAATCTGGCCAATTGAGGGGCCCCCAGGCCCTACCACTAACCGGGTCCCCTTACCCGGGATCCTGGCTATACCCGATAGATGCCCTCTGCATACCGGGAGAGGCCGCCCCGTGGACCGTCGGCGCGTGCGGGGAGAGCCTCCGCCACCAGTCCAGCCCGCGCCAGCACGCCCCTGTGATGATTAGCAGCGGACGGACCCCTCACCCTTTTGGGAGGAGACCGAAGGCAGGAGGGCCAGAGGCATGAGGACAGGTGGGTCTTCTCGGGTCGGGCGAAAGGGGGGGATAGCGAAGGGGGGGTTTGAGAATCAGCTCACGTAGCTGATTTTCCCGGCGCCTCCCGGCACCGGAGGCGGCTATGTATCGAGGAATGGGCCCCTCGGTGAGGCCGAAACCAGCTGCATGCAGCAAATTTCGTAACCCCCCTTTCCCAATACCCCCCTTTCGTCCGGCCCGATCTTCTCTGCAGATGTATCAGATGAAACCGCCCATATGATCAGGGATATCCCTAAACACCATGGACCTACGGCAAGCTCGTGTCGTGTCGTGTCGACACCGGCTTCGGTTCCTGACACCGTGGGGCTCGTTCAACCCTGAACGATCGGCCGCTTCCGCAACGTCCGACCGTTCAACATCGACCGACTCTGGGCCGCCGCCGGCGCTCCACGGTGAACTCCGCTGGCGAGGTCGCCGCCGGTCGACACGACGCGAACCTACCGCGAGTTGGGCCACGGATTCATTTCGCAACTAACTATAGAGCTAGGGGCTGTGTTGTGCTCACTGCTGTGACGGGGGCGCCTCGCCAACCGCCTGGGCCCAGCGGCCCCGCGCGGGGCCCAAGGGCGGCGAGGAAGCAGACGCGTCCCGAGGGAGGCAGGTCCTTGCCATCGCTCGGACGTGCATTCCCTGTGCATTTTTCGGTATCGTGCTTGTTTGCGTTTGCTCGACGATCCAGGATGCTCCTCCAGGGTCCTTGCCGAGAAAACAATGCACACATCCGAGCGATGCGAGGGGTCCTTCCGAGAGGCTTCTTGCCGCGCTCGGGCTCCGGGGACCCTCCCTGGGGGCCCCTGGAGCAATCGAGAGACTGGCGTTAAGTCGGGCCTGTCCCCCTACAGGCCGGTTTTGGACGAAAAACTAAAAATAATCCAAAAAGAGTCAGAAATGGTCAAACATAGTCAAAAAATAGTCCCCAGACTATTCTTTTTTTGGAATATCCCTGGCTTAAGACTGGCAGGGGAGGCAGACGCAGGAGCAGGCCCATCGGCTGCTCGGCCCTGAGCTGGGCAGGGGAATTAGCCTTAAGTCGGGCCTGTCCTCCTACAGGGGGATTTTGGACGAAAAATTAAACACAGTCACAAAATACCCTCAAATTGTCAAAAAATGCTGAAACAAGTCTTCCCCTGACTGTTTTTACTACCTTTGAGTATCCCTCCCGTAGAGGGACAGGCCCGACTTGAAATTAGCCCCATCTCAGGACATGGGGAAAGAGCTGGGAATCAACCCCATCGTCGGACAGCAGGAATACGCGACTGCAGAATCAAACCCGAGGTCGCTTGTGGCGCAGCATTGTTTCCAGGGCCAGATCCCAATACGCTCAGCCAGCGCGCTTGATCCGTCAATAACAATCCTTACGACACCCATTCGCGACAAGTTGGGACCTTGGGCTTGATTGGGCTGCCTAGGTTTGCTCGTACCCTACGAGCACTGCCTCCTCCTCCGTTGCCCCAGAACGCTGAGGGGCTCGCGTTCGCTGCCCCTCAGCGAGCTGAAACCCGCGCACATCTTTTGGAGGTCCGCGCGGACTTCCTGGATCGGCCCTGGCCCACGGGCGGGCGGCGCATGCAGCGCCGCCCCCGGCGCGCTTCGCGCGCAAAGGCGGGGGGGGGCAGCCCCCACCCAGGAAGTCCACGCGGACCCCCGAACATTCACTTGATGCAATTTTCTACTGTTCTCCCTCCCCTGTGGCCCTTCTTGAAGGGGCCATGGGACACACAAGTGAATACACACAAATAGAAGGATGCCCCATATTTTTCCAGTTAGTTTCTGGGTTTCTGTCTTCCCCCCCCCCGTGCCCATAGTTTCCCCATATTTCCTAGGGAATCGACAACTAATTGTGTCTGTGTGTTTTGTTTTCCTTCTGACTTCTGCCGGACCCCCGAGGGGAGCGCCTGCGAATGGCCTCGCCCCCACGGAGCTCCTCGTAGCAGATGGAGCAGGTCGGGGCCTCCAGCGCGGCGGCGCGCCGAGGCTGTCGATCCCTCGTCACCCGCACCGCTGGAGTCGGCCTCGTCATCCTCGCTGTCCTCGTCATCGTCGTCGCCCTCGTCGTCCTCGCTGTCCTCGTCGGCCATCGTCGTCGTCGTCGTCGCTGTCCTCGTCGTCGGCTGTCGTCGTCGTCGTCCTCGTCGTCGTCCTCGTCGTCCTCGTCGTCGTCCTCGTCGTCTCTCCGTCGTCGCCCCTTCGTAGTGGTCGGAAAAGGGAGCCTCCTCCGCAGCTGGCCCAGCGGCCATCGTCTCCACGGGCAGCGCCGACAGCGCCGCGTCGGCGCGCCGCTTCTTCTGGCGGGCGGGGCTGGGGAGATGGGAGATGACGGGGGGGGCAGGCCAATGTTGAAGCCAAAGGGTTGTCGCAACGCAAGTCGCCCGAACGATTGGCCGATCGGGGGTCGGCGCATTCATTGAGGGCCATAATTGAAGGGGCCCCGGGACACACGAATGAATACAGACAAATAATAGGATTCCTCATATTTTCATATAGTTTCTGTGTTGTTGCTATTCCCCCCCACTTCCCATATTTACCCATATCTTCTGGGGAATCGACGATTCATTGCGTCTGTATGTAATAATGACGCGCACTCAATGAGACACGGCCGGCGGAACGCAGCAGGCAAACTAAAGCTTGTACACGATACAAGCTCACATCCACCACACATCGACTCCCAAGGGGGGGATGTGCGCTCAAGGGGCCGTGCTGGATACCATTCCGTCCTACGCCCCTCAAGGAACCTGCCCTGGACCCGTCCTGCGATCCTCCTGGACGATAGCCGGACACCCTTCGCTGCATGCCACTTAACCTATGAAATTGGTCGTATCCCCTGGTATGCATAGGAACAAGGTTGCTGGATGCGGCGCGCCACTCGCGAAGCCCATCGACCGCGCAGACACGCAACAACGAGATCAATTGAGGCCACAATCAAAAACAAATTGTTTTCCGTGCAGCCGCACGCGCGCGGTTCCGCAGTGCACCCGGCTGCCCCAGAGCTATTGCGCCAAGCCAGCCAGGGAAGGGAGAGAGGAGAAAACACGGAACGACGAGGGAGGAAAACGAGAAAGGTAAAGACAATAATAGGCTTGCCGAACGGTTTGCTTCTGTACGAACCGGGATTGCACCTGGCCTCCCTGGGCAGTGCCATGCGTGCAGCTGCTGCCATGTTCTGATCCCTGGGGGGAGAAGAGAAGCGCCGACGTGCGGGAATTCGGATGATACCGCGCCGCCGGGGGGGCCCAGCGCGGATCCAAGAAATCCGCGCGGAGCGCCAAAACCCCCCAGCAGCTAACCGGAGGTGTGTCTATGACCCCGTGGCGCGTCTCTTTGCCCCCCCCACAGTTGCGATGCCATTGCACCTCGGCGTTGCCTGGTGTACCTCGAACCTCCCTCCATCTGGACGCTCGCAAAACACGAGTACGTTAACCGAGGGGGCACATTGTCTGCATAAGTAGTGCCGACACAGGACGCAGGAGGTACAACATTTGCCGACGCAACGACCGCGAGGTACATCTTGTTCCTCGCAGGGAAGGACCTGCCGACATCCTGAGCGCTTGCATCCTTGTGCTCTCACCTTGGCCACAGCCCTGCCCGCCAGGGCCGCCCCAGACCTGCCCACACCACGTCGTCTCACTCCTCTTTTCTGCATGACGCCTCTCGCCACGAAATCATATGACAAACCTGCAATTCCCGCCACCTCCTCCCGCTACGTCGCCTCCCCCCTCCGTGCTTCTCCTCCCTCCTCCTCCTCCTCCTGCTCCCCCTGCTCTTCCTGTTCCTCATCCTCCTCATCCTTCCCCTGTTCCTCCTCCTCCTCCTCCTCCTCCTCCTCCTCCTCCTCGGAAGCGGCGCAACCTTGCCGCCCCGTGGCCCGCCCCTCCGCGACGCCCGTCGCCGCCGCCGCGCCTGCTGCTCAGTGTACGTCGGCAGGTTGTAGGGTACCGTGGTCACGTTGGCCTCTCCCTGCTCGTCCTAGGCCGCCAACGCCTCCTGATCCTTTCCTCGCGCTTCCCCCTTCCTCGCCGTCCGCGTCGTCGTCGTCGTCGTCGTCGTCGTCGTCGTCGTCGTCGTCGTCGTCGTCGTCTCCTCCTCCTCCTCCTCCTCCTCCTCCTACTCCTCCTACTCCCCCATCCCTCGTCGCCTCGTCTCCTCCTCTTCCTCCCTCCTGCCTCTCCTCCTTCTCCAGCTTCTCCTCCCGCCCCCTTCCTCCTGCTCCTCCTCCCACCTTTTCCTCCTCATCCTCCTCCTCGTCGTCCTCCTCCTACTCCCTCCTCCTCCTCCTGCTCCTCATCCTCCTCATCCTTCTCCTCCTCCTGCTGCTCCTCCTCCTCCTCCGCCTCTTCCTCCCCATCATCCTCCTTTTATGCCCACCACCCGCCCCCTCCTTCTCCTCCTTCTCCCTCCTCCTCCTCCTCCTCCTCCTCCTCCTCCTCTTCCTCCTCCTCCTCCTCCTCAATCACCTTCTCCTCCTCATCCTCCTCCCCCCTCTCCTCCCTACACACGTCCACCCCCATCCCTCTCCCGCCCTCCTCCTTCCGTCCATCCGCCGCCCTCCCTCCGCTTGCGTTTTCTAACGGGGGGCAGGAGGGCGGTGAACTGGCGGGTGGCGGGAGGAGGGAATCCCTCATCCCGCCATTTCGCCGCACATCCGATGCATTACTTTTCTCCCTCGTATGCACTGGGAGGGAGAGGGAAGTAATACATCGGCTCAGCTGCGCGATCCCCCGACCTAATATGCTGCGGCCTCACTCGGGAGGTACAAAAACACTCCGCACCGAACCATGCGGTCGGACCGAACCGAATTCTGCTGCATCGGAACGGAGTCGGAATCGAATCGGTTGCGCCAGGATGCACAACAGCGCTGTGAAAACACCACGCGACTCGGGCCGTCGGGATACCAGAATCGAATCGGACCGTGCAGGGGCAGAATCGACATCGAGCCCGATCGATCAGATCGAAATGGGCCTCCAGAGCTTGGTTGTCATCTCCGCTCCTCGTTCCTCTTTCCTCCTCCTCCTCCTCATCCTTCTCCTCCTCCTCCTCCTCCTCCTCGCACTGGGCCGCAATGCCACTGCTGTGACAAAGGGGGCAGAGCCAGGAGTCGGAAAATCATACATGTCCACCTCCATATTCCTCCCCCTCCTATGTTTGCTTTCCTCCCATCTTGGAAGGAGAGGAGGGTGGGCTTGCTTCCTGAGGCCCGACTCTACTCAGAAAATGCTCCAGGAATTTGATGTGCCGGCAATCTCCGGCATATCTGCCGTCGTCGAAGCCAATTGCGGCCATGCCATTGCCATAGCAGCCGCGAGGCCACAGGAGCACTGAACCGCGCCGCGTCTCAGAAGGACCACGAATGGCGCTTTGACGAATGGGCATCAGGCGCGACGCGCAGCCGCGGGCGCCCGGCAAGGGCCCGTTCAACCCGTATGGCATTTGGGCCCTGCGCGAGGCGAAGCGCCGCGAGTCCCCCGAAGTCGGCAGGGCTGTCCCTGGCGAGGCGCATCTGGCCCACGAAGAGCGTCGCCTGCCTGCGCGCGGGCACCCGCTCCGTCCACCCACGGCACTCGCACGAGCGCGGGTCGAGACGCCTCGGGCGCCGCGGCTTCTCAGAGCGTTACGGAACTTTGCAAAAGCGTTCTGGAACGGTCTGGAACGGACTGATCCTCGCCCTCGCCCCGTCTGGATCCTGGGACTTTCGGGGGCGTCCAGGAGAAACCCGTTTTTTGTGTGGTTCGCAATGACGACCGTGACTGGCCCGGCCCCCAGTTTCCCCCCCTTCCCCCTGGTCACGCCCGTTGTTGCCACGGGGTGTAAGAGACGCTCTCGAGAGGGGCGTCAAAGAGGGGGGATGGCAAATCGCGGCCCGAGTCACGCGCGCGGACAAGGGGAGGCCAAGGGACGCAGCGAGCCATGGCACTGGCCATGGTATCCCCCTCAAACCTCATCCCTCTCTTGGACGCCCCCGAACGTTGCGATAGGATCAGGGGCCCAGAAGGTTATCCGATTATTTGGTGGTTTTTGGTGGAAGTGTTTTTCGCCTCTGGACGCGTTCCACTGGATGCGGCTCGCAAAAAAACGTTCCGAACCGTTTGAGACGGTTCCGAACGGTCGCCCAGGGCGCGGCAAGTCGATCGCATTCCCTTGTCACCGCCAGCGGCGGCACAGTTTTTAGAAACAGTCGAAATGCATGCATGTATGAATGGATGTGATTAAAGGTATATGTATACGCATACGCATTGTACCCGCACGTTGTTCAGCATGCCGGGATGCCTGCACGCCTGTACGCGACCTTACATATCTATGTTGGCCACCGATGACCTCAAACGGCTTGTTTCTAGCAGCATGTGTTGTGCAAGTTCGGTGGGGCAATCTAGGTTGTACATGTCGTGCAACCGCAGTGCGCAGTGCACTATACGCGGTGCACTATGTGTTATACAATCTACTTTGCTCATATGGATGGCGTGAACTGCGTGGTGCAACTTACGTGGTGCACAGCGTATGTGGTGCACTCGGCGTGGTGCAGTCGTGCAATATTTGTGGTGCGAACGTCGTGGTGCAATCTACGAGGTGCTACTGGCCGAGCTGCACCGCGCGCGACCGCCTCCCATGCTCGTGCAAGCACCCCACCCTCCCACCAGCATCCTGGTCAGGAAAACTCATCAGGTCGCGACTGTATTTGCGGCGCGGAGCTCGCCCGACAATTTCATCGAACTCAATGGCACGCGGACCCACGTGGTGCGGGCAAAATCCATATTGCGGCAGACAGCGCGGACGGCAGCGTCGACAAATGCGGTGGTTGGCAACACGCGTAAGGTCGCGAGTGCAGTTGTAGCGTGGACCTCCTCCGAACATTTCATCGTGTTCATTGGCGCGCGGACGCTCGTCGCGCGTGCAGTGTCCATCTTGCGGGAAACAGCGCGGACGACGGCGTCGACAAACGACGATGATAATGATCACGCCGCTTCAGACGGAAATGATGACGATGGCGGTGCCCTGCGTGTTTTTTATGTCACAGGAACCATGCCCCTGACAAGCGCGCGAGGGCATTGCAATAAGTTCGACATGCGCGCGCGAAAGCCTCCGTTGGCCAGGGAGGCTGGACAACAAAACAACAAAAAACGAGGTTCCCAAAAACGCGGGGTAACATGTTGAAACCATTGTGTTGGAAATCCAATGGGTTATGGTTGTCGTTGAAATCGCAACGGGAACGGTTGTGCAATGATTCCGTCTTGCGCGCGCACGCATGTGGCCCTCATAATTCCATGCCAAAACGGTTCGGGTCCTCGGCTCATCCTAGATCAGCACATGCGCACCACATGGTACCATCTGACAGGGATGCGGGGGGGGGGATACCAAAACTAGCTGGGACGGTATGGGCTCTTATGGAAAATGGGCCAAGAGGCGGGATCAGTTAATTGCAATACCCGAAGGGGGAGTGAGATTCCCAGGTGGTGGGGGGGGGGTGAATCTAATCCTTGTTAACAGAAAGGAACCGACGTGGTGCAATCTACGTGGCGCAATAGACATAGTGCCATAGGTGTGGTGCAATCTACGAGGTGCAATTGGCCACGTTGCACCGTGCGTGACCACCTCCCACGCTCGTGCAAACATCCCACCCGCCCACCCGCGTCTTGGTGGCAAAACCCATAAAATCGCGACTGCAGTTGCAGCGCGGAACTCGTCCGCAAATTTCCCCGAACTTCTTGGCACGCGGACCTTCGGGGCGCGGGCAAAATCCATCATGCGGTAGACAGCGTGGACGACAGCGTCGACAAACGACGATGAGATGGTTGGCAGAACTCATAAGGTCGCGAGTACAGTTGCAGCGTGGAAACTCCTCCGACATGGGGCGCGGACGCCCGTCGCGCGGGCTGAGCCCATCTTGTGGGAAACAGCGCGGGCGACGGCGTCGACAAACGACGATCACGCCGCTTCCGACGGCAATGATGACGATGACGGTGCCCCGCATGGTTTTATTTGACAGGAATCATGCCGCTGACAAGCGCGCGAGGGCATTGCAATAAGTTCGACATGCGCGCGCGCGCGGCGGCCTCCTTGGACAGGACAATAGAAGAAACAAACATTGGTTTCCTACGAATCCGCAGGAGCGCGCGGGATGAAATGTTGAAACTTTTATGCGGAACAACCATTGGGTGTTTAACCGTCTTTACACTGATATCGCAACGGCAACAAACAAATGTTGGAAGGATTCCGTTTTGCGCGCTCATGTGGCCAGCACGGCATTATTGCATAAAGATTCGTGCGCTCAATTCATCTTGAATCAACGCATGTGCACCGCATAATATCATCTGACAGGGGTGAAAGGGGGGCCTGATACCAGGAATAGCTGGGATTGTATGAAGTCGTCTGGAAAGTGAACACGGAGGCTGAATCATGTGTACATTGCAATATCTCAGAGGGGACTGGTAATCCCGGGGTGGTGGTGGGGGGTGGACCTTATTTTCCCAGAAATGTGGAGCTCGCAGTTGTCAGCTCGACTGCTCGCGCAATCATCCCACCCAGCCACCCACAAGTTGTTCTACAAAACGCATGCGGCGGCGATTGCGATGACTGCTTGGTGGTGGCTGCTGCATCTCTGCGGCCGAGCTAGCCCGCGCATGCTTGCGCTCGCAGCGGCCAGCCAGCTTGGCCGGGGCGACGCGGCCACGGTGGCGCTGACCCCTGGGCACTTCCCACGGAACACTTCAGTGCGAATCGGCCATTTGGGCGGGCGCGGTATCATGGCAGCGCCGACAACGGTAAACATGATGAGGATGATAGTAGCGATTCTGGTGGCGATGATGACAACGGCGACGGCACGGCCTGTAACGGCGCCTATGCTGATCACGCCGACGACGATGACGGCGTCCTCGCGTCGGCGATGAAGCTTTTGGAAGGAGATCGACGTGCGCGCGCGTCCGACGCGCGAGTGGCCAGCATGGCATTTGTTGACACAGTTCGTGCCCCACAACACGCGCGCAAGGGCGTTCGACTGATGTCGACATGCGGCGCGACAAGGCCTGCCTAGCCGAAGTTTGATCAAACATGGTGACACCTGTATGGTTTCCTTGAGGATTCGCAAGAACGCGGGCACAGCTTTCTTCGAATGCAGTGATGCGCAGACATGTGTTTGTGTGTAAGGGGCACTCGATTTTCAAATATTTTACGGATGCGGGGGTGTTTGAAGGATTCCGGCATGCGCGCGTGGCGACACGCGCGTGCGCCCTTCGTCCAATTTGTTGTAAGGGATCCTTGCGGCAACACGCGATCGAGGGCTTTCGAACGATTTCGACATGCGCGCGCGTGAGGCACAGAGAGTAGCATATTAAGTATGGAATATGTTGTTAAAAAATATGGTTTACCGGAAAATTCGCAAGAGCGCGAGCGCAAACTGGTTTTGAACAGTATTATTGCGGAGCCGCGTGATTTCAAACAATCGGTTTTGAGATCAGAGAGAGCGTGATCCACCGCCGCTTTCTTGTGGAAAACTTCCCCCCCCTCTCCTCCAAAGCAGCCCGGGGATCCCCCCCCCTCCGAGAACCCCCCTCTCCCCTGCTCGAGCCCCCCTCCCCGCCCCCCTCCCGCTTCCCCCGGCAATCCCCCCCCCCCCTTTCGGAAAACCGGGCGGGATCACTACCGACTCGAACCCCCCCCCCTCCAGAAAACGGGGGGTGTCTCTACCCGTTCGAACTCCACCCCCCACTCGCCACAGGCAAACGACTCCCGTGCCCCCACCACCGTCCTCGCCACTCCCCACTGACCCAACCATGCAGTGCCTCCAACACTGTCGCACTGTCCCAGCTGTCCCCACCACTGTGCCCACCACAGTCCCTCTCTCCCCACTGTCCCCACTGTCCCCAACACTGTCCCACTGTCCCCAATGTCCCCACCGCTGTCCCACTGTCCCCAATGTCTCCTCAGCTGTCTCACTGAGCTGTCCCACTGAGCTGTCCCACTGTTCCCACCACTACTGTAGGTTTTTGCGCTTGTTGCTGTTGTCCTTGATGATTTTTCATGCCTATGCTCTGGGGGATCGCCGGGAGGAGCCTCTGCCGCCTCTCGCGGGAACCCCGCCAGGGAAATCCCAGGGCGCTCGAGCATTCAGCCGGCCCCACCGCGCCCGCTTGGCAAGAGCCTTCCCTCGCGGCGAGGGCGGCCGGGCTCGCCTCACTCGCTCGAGGCCCCGCCGGGCAGACCCCCGGCGGTCTCGCGCGCAGGCCTGCAGGAAGTGCCGACTGCGGCTAGGGAAAGAGAACCCGCCGCAAGCTCGCGCGGGCTTTGGGCAGCCCATGCCGCCGCACGGCGCGGCCCGCACAAGGGGTATAGAGGACGGGAGCTCGCCGGCCGAGCGGGCCAAAGGCGTGCCAGGCTCGCTGGCAGGGGGTGCAGAGCATCTGCAGGTACCAGTTCGCGGGCACGGGCCGGGCCCTGGTGGTGCCTGGAGGACAAGTACACTGGCATCAGTCACTAGTTCTTCTCCCTCGAAGAAAGCTCCGCGATCGCGCCAAGGGGGCTCCAAGAAGGCCCCAGAGGAGCCCAGGAGGGGAATCAATGGGCGGCAGGCCCCCCAAAGGTACCGAAACAGCTTAAGAGGCCCCGAGACAGTCCCAATGTGGCCCAAGATGGTCCAAGACAGCTCAACGAGGACCCGCGACGGCCCACAGTATACAAACATCTCTCAAACATGCGTGCGCTTTTGTCGACGATTTTGGCTTCCTCGCCTGTTCGCTTCCAGTGCACTTCGGAGGTCTCAAGATGGCTCCGAGATCGCCCACGATGGCTCCACGCGGAGCCCTGAAGGGCTCCAGGAAGGCTCCGAGGACCCCAAAGAGTGCCCCAGGAGCGCCCAAAGAGTGGGGATCAGTGGGTGGGAGGCCTCATAATCGCTCCGAACGCAGGCCCAACCTGCCCCGAGATAGCCCTCCCAAGGCGGCCCAGGGTAGCCCTCAAGAGCTTCCCCGATGACTCCCAAGAGGCCGAATCTTTCAAGCCAACGGTTTTCCAATGATTCTGATGTTCTCGCTGTCTCGTTGCCTAGCAACCATGCGCTGCCTCCGTTTCTCCCCCGAGCGAGGTTCACGCGACAGCTCAGGAAGCCTGCCACAACTCACTACCTCCTCACCCCCCGCAAGCACGTAGGAAAGTGCCAGCGATGATGCATTATGGGCCGGCGGCATGCGCGAAGCGATTGGATGACTTGATAGCTGGCGACACCTCAAAGGTCGCGGCCTGCAAGCCATTGCTTTGCATACCAAAAATTGGAAGCAAGCCGAGGACGCCACGCGTGCCATGACGACCTCAGCTGCCTGATGCGGATGCGCGAATCCCACACGGCCGGCATGCGTCGGGCAGCGGAAGATGGATGGAGGTGTGTGTGTGTGTGTCTGTGTGTGTGTGCGTTGCCGATTTTGTTTGCGTAGGATGGGTGAGGAAGCCGACGCAGGAGGAGGGGGCCCGCATGCCCGACCAACGCGCATCGTCTGCCGCGTCTCCAACGCGTGCAGCGTACATCAAAACCTGGCGCGACGTGCCACCGCGCCCCTCCTGCGGGGACTCCGGCGCGCCTCTGCTCCCCCCGCCGCGCCCGGCCCCGGCGCCAGGTCGAGGAGGCGCGCAGACGACCGAGGGCACCGCCCCAGCGACAGGACCGCGTGCGCCGCGGTCCTGTCACTCGCCCGCGGCCCCCGCTCACTCGTGGTTCGCCGGGGAGCCCACCACGTCCGGCGGAGCGGCGGCGGCGAAGGCGCGCGCCTCGGGGCCGCGGCCCGAGGCGCGCTTGAGGGCGAGGCAGCCCGGAAGGCCCGAGCAGAGCGAGAGGACGAGCGCGAGGACGGACAGAGCCAGGGGCAGAGGGTCGCCGTCGCTGTCCTCGGTGGCTGCCGCCGCGCTGCTCGAGTGGCTGCCGCTGGCCATCTCCGCCTGCAGCTCGGCCAGCGAATCCTCGAGCACACCTCCCTCGTACAGGTCGTAGGAGGTGCGCTTCGCGCTGATGACGTTGGTGCCCATGCCGCCGTACGTGTCCGTCGACTCCTCGAACACAAACTCCTCCATGCCTGCCGGCCACACGATGGTACCAGCCCCAGTCGCGGCCAAGGTCTTCAGCGCGGAGTCCGGCGCCGTGAAGCCGAACTCCTCGAGGAGGCCATCGTGGTCGTCCAGGATGAACTCGATGAAAGCCTTCAAGGCCGCCGCGGTCTTCGGATTCGTGCTCTGCTGATCCTTCTTGACGTACAGGTAGCTGACAAGAGTGATAGGCCACGTCGTTGAGCCGTCCATGTTGAGGATGTTCGCCGCGCTCCAGTCGGCGCTGGCGTCTGCAGGAAAGCTGCCTTCTGAGACGCCCTTGCTGCCTGCTGCGGCCACGCCGTTCGGGTCTGCCGCAAGGGACTCCTTGGATGTGCGAGTATACCCATCCGCATTCTGCAGGGCGATCTCCGCAAAGTTGAGGTCGTGCCCGTGTCCGGCGTCAAGGTAGCCGATCGAGTATTCTGTGCCATCGATGTGAGTCTGCATGCCCTGGGAGCCCTGAACAGCAAAGAAGTTGTCGTGCCCCGACGCCGTGTCTGGCCAAGAGATGGTTGATCCCTGACCGCGCGGCCAAGACGCTTGACAACTCTTGTCGAGGTAGCCAGTGATGCCGCCCGTGCTGCTGGACCCAAGCGTGCGGTGGCCGACCATGATCTTTTGGTTCGCTGGCGGGTCCAGGTTTGAATTCAACGCCTTGATATCTGGATGGTCCCAAGTGGTGATGTCACCGTTAAAAACTCTGGCCAGGAGGCATGCGGTGAGCTGGATGTCGGTGTTGCCGCGAACGCTCGCTGGGACGTTGTGGAAAATGCCGATGGCTCCCAGCGCAAATGGCAAGTGGACCATCTCCTTGCCCGCCGTGAGCTTCTGATAGTTGTCCTCACTCATCGGGATGTCACCTGCGCTAAAGTGGTTGTAGCTCTGGTAACCATTGTCGGCGTTGCCGACGAACTCCGCCTGGCCTGTGCTGCTGCCGACCGCGCGGTAGGTGAGGTGGAGGGGCGCGCGCGCCCTCGTCTCGAGCAACTTCATGGCCTTGGCGAACCAATTCTTCGGGTTGGTGGTGCCGCTTCCGTGGAGCGCCACGATGCCGTAATCGTTGAGCGTCGTCTCCAGTGCTGCCACACGTGCCTCCATAGCCGTCATGGCAATGTCGATCTCGCTGAGCTTCCACAGCGAGTACGAGCTACGCTTCTTGCTGATGTAGGTGTCGCTCATACCCGCCCACTGCACCGTGGTGTCTCCCTCCATGTTGTACTCCGTCCCAGGCGTCGAGGGTAAAATGATCATGGCTTTGACTGTGCTGAACCACCTGTTCGCCCAGGCCTGCGGAACCGCATTGAACGAGTAGTCCGGCAGCAACGCCTGGCCCTCGTCCTCGGTCAGGACCATGTCCACGAACGCTGTGAGGAGTTGGACCTTCTGACTGTCCATGGTGCTCATGTTCTTCTGAAGGTAGATGTACGAGATGAGCACAATGGGCCAGGTCATGTCTCCATCCCTCGCATAAAGGTCGATGGCCGCCCAGCTCGCATCGGCGTCTGGCGGGCTCGACAACGCTGCGGCGGCGGCAGCGACTCCATTTTCCCCATTGTTGTCCTCGTAATCGATGGCCTCCGCTGAGGTGAGCCAATTGTCCGCCTCGTTCTTCAGCATCGCCTCTGGGAAATTGCGATTGTGCCCGTGGCCAGCATCGAGGTAGCCGATGGAATATTCGTTGTCAGAGATCCGCCACCGTGCAAAGGCACTGGTGTCCTCAAGTCCCGTCCCAGACGTGCGACATCTCTTTCTTTTCGATACAGGGTCCCCTGAAGTTCTCACCCTTTCCCCAGGGCCGGCTTTGCACGGGCCGTTGTTTCAACGATCCCTGAGCCTGGCGATGGCCCTCTTAGGCCGAGGACTACCAAAAACCCGCCGTCGCGTTTTGTCACGACGCGAGCATGTCTGGGTTCGAGTCCTCAATCTGAGCCCTCCGTGCTGAATCCCGTGCATGCTCATGAAGGCCCCGAGGCCCCCAGTTTACACGGGCCTCCTGGGCGCTCCTGGGCGCTCCCGCGGATCGCCCCTCGCGACTTTTTCCTGAGGCCTGGGGAGCGTGTCTCCAAGAGTGCAGACCTCCAGCATGTCCCAAGACGGCCCCAAGGGGGCCCGCCCCGGGGACCTCCGCGGGGTCTCCTGGGCCGCCGTGGGGCCAGTGGGGTCGGCCCCAGAGGTCAACACCGTCAGAACTCGAGAGCGCCCGCGGTGGTCCAGCAGAGCCCAAGCTTCGTCCACGATTGGCTCCCGATCCTCCCAGAAGGGCCCCAAAGGCCTCAAGAGGGGCCCCGAGAGAGGAGGACTCGAAGGGGGACTACCATACCCGAGACCGCCAGCAGGGCCCCAAAGCGTTCCAACGGGGCCCCCACAGAAGCGCCAAAGAGGGCCCAGTATGGCTCCATTATGGCCTTAGACAGCCCATGAGGTCCTCCTCCAAGATGACACAGTCTGCCCCCATATGGCTCAACACGGGCCTCAAAGGGTCTCAATACGGCGTCGAATGTCTTCAAACCCTTGCGTGCGTTTTTATTCCTCAAACAGTGCAAGGGTTCTTACCTGTTGTCTAAAGTAACTGGGCTCTGGTGCCGGTCCGGCCAACTCGTCGCCGCCCATCGCCGCCGTCCGTCGCCGTCACTTGCACTCGCCCACTCTCACTCGTCCACTCGCAAAGCATGGCGTAGCACAGCACAGCATAGCAAAACTTACCGCAGCATAGCACACCATAGCTTAGCTTGGCAGAGCACAGAAGGACATAGCATAGCATATCATAGCAAGGTGCAACCAATGTGGTGCGACTTAAGCTTGCACAGCATCGATTGCATTGCGGATATTATCCCACATTGATTGGCACTGCATGTATTGCACTACATATGTTGCACTGCGTAAGCTGCCTTGCACATGTCACATCGCAGGGTATGCTAGAACACACTGTTTCGGGTCCACGCTGGCTAACATTATAATGACTATGCGTTTTGCTTCATCGCATTTTCGCTCACGATGGGCTCCTGAAGCCTTAAGGTGGCCTGCAGACCGCCCAAGACAAGTCCCGAGATGGCCAGGAAGGGCTCCAGGACGGTCCCAAGAGCACCCAAGAGCGCCGTACGAGACGTCTCTTTCGGGGTCCAGCGGGGCATCGCTAGTTTACGACCCATGCGCAAAGCCATTGAACAACCTGAAAACTTGGACTGAATGTGACACATCGGTGGAGATTGCATCCGATATGGCGCCGTACGGTCTACGTTGGCTCAATTTTGCCTCCAACATGCCCCCAGAAGAGGCTCCCGAACTGCTCCTAGACGCCTCCAAGTAGCCACATAACCCGGAAACAGCTACCCCCGAGAGACCCAAACTCCAAATTATTCAGCACATACGATTTTCACTGATTTTTGCTTCGCCCATACCATTCAACACGTCGATGTATGTATGCCTGCACATATATAAATGTATGTGTATGCGCGCACAAGCCTAACGGTGGGCGTGCCGAAAGAATTCCACACTGGATGAGGTCGGGGACGCGCGTTCACAATTCCATACACATGTATACAGCTCGTACAGTCCTTTCTGCTTTTCCAACCTGGTTCCACTCCTACTTCCTCCTCTTCTCTACTCCGTCTTCCTCCTCCTCCTCGAATGCGGCGGAGGAGGAGTGAGGAGTGAGGAGGAGGAGATTGATGATGAGGAGGAGGAGGGGGATGAGGAGGAGGAGGAGGAGGAGGAGGAGAAGGAGGAGGAGAAGGAGGAGGAGGATGGGGATGGGGAGGATGATGATGGCGCTGGAAAGCAACACAACACAAGAGGAAACAACTAACAAACACATGCAGAAACTGAAGTGCTGGCGGCCGAAACTTTGGGAAAACCATTGGAACAGCAAAAACAACAGCAAACCACAGCTTCCACAGAAAATGGAGGAGTGAGGAGGAGGGGGGGGGAGGAGGCGGAGGAGGAGGAGGAGGAGAAGGAGGAGGAGGAGGGCGCTGGACAACAGCATCACGAGGACAAACCAACAACAAACAACAAGTCTGAAGAACTGGCGGGATATACTTTCGGAAAACCGTTAGAAACAAACCGACATATAGGCAACAACAATATAAGCAAAACAGCTTCCACACATAATGCGGGGTTTTCCTTCGGACGGTTCCCTTCGGACGGTTGCTCCTGGGATCTTTGGCTGTTTGTTGTGGTTGTTGTTGAACTTTCATTGCTGAAGAATCAATATTGTTGACCCCCTCATCTGGGGCACATCGTGATTTTTCAATTGACGAGCCCTTCCCGGGGCTCGCACCCTGTTTGTTATCACGGAAAGAGCGTGTTCTACCGCTACTGGCGGAAAACTGGGGGGGGTCACTGGGAGTTCCTAACCCATCCCCCCCCCTCGAAACTCGGGGGTCACTACCGGTTCGACCCCCCCCCCAGTCCATCATGAAAAGGGGGGGTGGGTCACTACTGGTCCGAACCCCCCTACCCCCCCTCCCTCGAAAACCGCGGGGGGTCACTACCGGTTCGAAGCCCCCCCCACTCGAAAACCGGGGGGGGTCACTACCAATTCGAACTCCCCCCCCTCTCCGCCGGCAAACGATGCCCGCTCCTCGGGACAGTTGGAGAATGGTGGGGATGTTGGGACAGTGGTGGGAACGGTGGTGGTGGGGACAGTGGTGCGGGGACCCCTAGGCGGGGTGGGCCATCAGACCCCTATCGCCGATCAATATGCGATTGAGGGTCGGTGTGTCCCCCGTGAGCCTAGCCCCCCTTAACGTTGCCCCTGAGTGCATGGGGGCGGCGGTGATTCCCCGTAGGCGTCCTCAATGCAAGCGGTCACGCCTGGCGAGCCCTCGTTGTCCTGGAAGTTGCTCGACGTGCTCCACGTGATCGTGCTGCCGGACCCCCTGGGCCAATCTGACAAGCACTTGTTCTCCAGATAGCCGGTGAAGCCGGTGGTGCTGCTGGAGCCATCTGAGCGATGGCAGACCTTGATCTGCTTGCCCGCGGGCACCTGCAGGTTGGGGTTGTCCACAGCAATGTCAGCGTGGTCCCAGGTCGTGATCGCGCCGTCGAAGATCTTGGCGAGCACGCACGGTGACAGCTTGAGGCCGTCGTTGCCGACTTCGGCTGCGGGGACGTTGTGGAATACGCCGATGGCCCCCAAGCAGAATGGCACGTGGAGCATCTCCCTGCCGGAGTCGAGCATTCCGTCGTAGCGTTCCTGCGTCATCGGGATGTCACCTTGCGGGGCAACGTTCGGGGGGGACTGGTCCCGGGGGGGAGGGACATCGAGCTTGACTGGGCGATACATCGCCGATGGGCCCCCGACAGCGAGTCCGCACGTTCCTGGGAGGGGTGGGCTATCAGCCCCCTGTCGGCGAATGATTGGGCGATTGGGGGTCGATGCGTTCCCCCCTGAGCCTATTCCCCCCCCAACGTTGCCCCTGACACCTGCGCCGAAGTCATTGACGGAGGACGAGTAGTCGCCGCTGTCCGCCGCGGATTCGGAAGCCGAGCTGAACTCCCTCTGGCCGTTGCTGCTGCCGACGGCACGGTATGTCAGGCGGATGTCCTCCTTGGCGCGCGCCTCCATCGTCTCCATGAGCTGCCAAAAGAACTTGGACGGATTCGTCGTGCCGCTTCCGTCCACCTGGGTCCCGGCCTTCACCTGCACCGCGCAGCCGAGGCTGGCCAGCCACACCGCTGCGCGCGCCGCCATGCTGCAGCAAGCTCGGACTCGGTCGCGGGTGGTCTTCGAGGAACAGAACACCCTGGCAAAGCCTCGGACCACAGAGCCGCCACAGAGCGGGGGAAGGGGTGAGGCCTGCCAGGAGGGAAGCAAGCCCTGGAGGAGAGGGCTCTTGGACCCCCGGCGGCTTCCCCCAAGACGCGCCTTCCACCCCGAACGATGTCTTCTGACGGCCCCGAGGCTCGAGGAAGGCCCTCTGCGGCGGGGCCCAGAAGCTCCCCGCAGGGGGGCCCGACGGACAGACTGTGTGTTTTTCTTCCCTCCTGAATCATCGGCGGGGGGTCGGCTCGTGGGAGGGGACGCCTCGGCCTCCCCAAAGGCCCGCGTGAGCGTGTTCTCTTGTTCGGCGTTGCGACACTGGGCGGAACATGGGGGTGGGGAGGGGGGGGGTCTGGCTCCAGGCCTCTGCTGAGTGCGACTGCGTGGCGCCGTGCTGCCTCTGGGTGAGGCTCCACCCGCTCGAGACAGGCGCCAGAAGAGCAGCCGAGATCTACTCCAGGGGGGGAGGAGGGATTTGGGGGCCCGCGCCGATCGGCAAAACAATGAATAAAAAACGATCACCACTCATCGCCGACAAGGGCCTGGTGACGAACGCCCGTCGCCGATCTATCACGGTGACATGTCGCGGAGTCCTTGAGCCAATCCTCCCCCCTGTACCGTTGCCCCTCACGTCCGCTTCGGTTGCGCGCGTCGCTCGAGGTGCCTCCGCGGCGTCCTCCGCCTCTTCCCCAAGGCTCCACCTGCACCTCGCGCGCCGGGCGCGCGCCTGGCCCGCCCGACGCGCGAGGTGCAGGTCAGCCGCGGCGCGGCGGACGACGAGCACGGCGGCGCGCCGAGGATGGGAAGCGGGACGGGGCGGGCCCTCACGGGAGGCTTCGAGGCTGCGCACAGACAGCCCCCCTCCCCCCCCCAGGCATCGAGGCTGCGGCCTCCAGAGCCCCCCCCCGAGTAAGCCAGCGCGGGGCGCCCCAGGGGCGCCGCCACACAGGCGGCGCCAGCTTCTCGTGATCGCCCCCCGGACGACTCGTGGGGGCCTGTGGAGGTGCTGGAGCTACCCTCGGGGGGGGGGCTTCCCTGACCGTGGCTTCGGGGAAAAAAGCTCAGAGAGCTTCTCGGCGGGCCAGAGGAGGCCTCCTGAGCCTCCGCCTGCAGGCGAGCACGGTGGCCCTGTCGGCTGCCCTCCTCCCTCCTCCCCTCCCTCTTCGCTGCGTTTTTGCCTGTGGCGTGCCGCGTGGGCCCCCTGGGCAGCTCCTGACCCCTCGCCCCGCGAGCGGCCTCTCGTCCCCCGAGCTGCTGTCCGACGGCCCCTGGGGCCCGGCGAGGGCCCCCAGAGGCAGGGGATGGCCAAACGCGTTCCGTCGTGCCTCTCCGCACGACGCGAGGGGGGGGGGCGGGCCTGGCTGTCGGCAGGCCCCCCCCGGGGGACCCGTCCTGGGGCGCTACCCAGCACGGCGACGAGGAGGCCCAGAGGGGCACGAGAACTCTGGAGAGATCGTCGATCCTGGAACCTCGAAGTAATCGGGACGCGACGGGGCCAAGGCCCCTTTGCAGAAGACCCTCCTCGTGCTGCCACGAGGAGCCCGGACTGCGGAACGGAGGGGCTTCGCAAGCCACTGTCCCACGGTCCCCACTGTGCCCACCACTGTCCCCACTGTACCACTGTCCAATTGTCCCACCACCGTCCTCATCACCGCCCTCACCACTGTCCCCACCACCGCCGACCCCCGCATTGTCCCACTGTCCCCAATGTCCCCACCACTGTCCCACTGTCCCCACACCGCTGCCCCACCACCAGAGTCCCCACCACTGTCCAACTGTTCGAACTGCCCCCACCACTGTCCCAATGTCCCCACTGTTCCCACCAGTCCCCGCCAGTGCCCCCACCAGTGCCCCCACCAATGTCTCACTGTCCCCACTACTGTCCCCACCACGCTCCCACTCTCCCCATTGTCCCGACTGTTCCCACCAGTCCACTGTCCACACTGTCCTCACCACTCTCCCTTCTCGCACCCATTAAACGACTCCCGTGTCCCCACCACCGTCCTCGCCACCGCCCTCACCGCTGTCCCCACCACCACCGTCCCCACCACTGTCCCACTGTCCGCCGTGTTCCCACCACTGTCCCGCTGTCCCCACACCAATGTCCCCACCACCACCGTCCCCACCACCACCGTCCCCACCAGTCCCAATGTCCCCACCACTGTCCCACTGTACCGAGGAGCGGGAATCGTTTGCTGGCGGCGAGGGGGAGGGGTCGAACAGGTAGTGACCCCCCCATTTCATGATGAACTGGTGTGGGGGGGGTCGAACCCTCAGTGACCCCCTCCGGTGTTCCACCTGCAGCGGTAGAACAAACTCTTTGTGAAATCATTACGGCGCCTGTGGGTTTTGACGGATTTTGGCATGTGCGAGCGACGATGCACGCGTGTGCACTCAGACCTTTGGTTTGCAGGGGGGTGTTGGAATCTCATGGTTTTTGACGGGCGAGCGCGCGCATACAATTTTGTTCCAGAGGAGAAGAGGACCACTTGGCTGGGAAGAAAGGAATTCATATTGCGGATATGCGATTGGGCAGAAACATATATCAATTGTAATGCGAAGAGGGGGGCGGTCATTTCCGGGGGAAGGGGTAGATCCTGATACTTCGCACCCCGCACAAGCGGATAAGAGTGAGGGGGCGGCTGGGACGTCGGCAGACTGCGGGACTCTGGAGAAGCCCGCCGCAAGCGCCAGAGATGCACAAAGTATACAACGAACCCGCCGCAGGCGCCGATTTGTGAATTAAACCAATGAGGGTAGGTCGCGGGTTGGTCGCGGGTGAGTCGCGGATGGGTCGCGGCTGGGTCGCGGGTGGGTCGCGGGTGGGTCGCTGCTGGGTCGCGGGTGGGTCGCGAGAGGGTCGCGGGTGGGTCGCGGGGTGAGTCGCGGATGGGTCGCAAATGGGTCGTGGGTGAGTCGCGGATGGGTCGCAGGGTGGTGGGCGGGTGGGTCGCGGGTGGGCGGGTGGGACGCGGGGTGGGTCGCGGGTGGGTCGCGGGGTCGGTCGCGGGGTGGGTCGGTGGGTGGGTCGCGGGGTGGGTCGCGGGGTGGGTCGCGCGGTGAGTCGCGGGTAGGTCACGGGTGGGACGAAGACAACAACAACAACAACAACAACAACAACATCGACAACAACAACAACAACAACAACATCGACAACAACAACAACAACAACAACAACCACAACAACAATAACAACAACAACAACAACAACAACAACAACACACACACACAAACAACAACAACAACAACAACAACAACAACAACAACAACAACAACACCAACAACAACAACAACAACAACAACAACAACAACAACAACAACAACAACAACATCAACAACAACAACAACAACCCGATTCCTGAATGGCAAGAGCGCGGCGCCTGAGTAACTTGCGAGGAAGTCTCAGGCGGGAACGTGACAAATCGCAAAGAAATCTTAAGCAGGAACGGGTGACCCGAATCAATTTCAAGGAAATATCAAACGGAAACCGTTGTTGTTGTAAACCGGACGCCAGGAGCACAATTTGAGGAGGAACATCTTCGTTGATAAAACAAGGGTGCGAGCGCTGGGAGGGGTATTTCAATTGTAAAATACCATGTGCACCAGAGGAAGGATCGACAATCCATATTTTTAAATCGTGAAGTTCAACAGAAGCAACAACAGCAAAATCAACAACATCAACAACTAAAACAACAGCAAACCAACATCAACACCAACAACAACCGCAACAACAACACAAACACCAACACCACCAACAACAAACATAACAACGACAACAACAACAGCAACAGCAACAGCAACAGCAACAGCAACAGCAACAGCAACAACAGCAACAGCAACAGCAACAGCAACAGCAACAGCAACAGCAACAGCACCAGCAACAGCAACAGCAACAGCAACAGCAACAACACCAACAGCAACAACAACAACGCAGCACACAACATCTTCACCCTGGATCCCCACTTCAGCCACGCACCCAAGGGCAATGAATGGCCGCCCGGCCCCCTCACTCTAACAACGAGCCCGCCGCAAGCGCCTAATGTTTCATTAAACCAATGTGGGTAGGTCGCGGGTGGGTCGCATATGGATCGCGGGTGGGTCGCATGTGGGTCGCGGGTGGGTCGCGGGTGGGTTGCGGGGTGGGTCGCGGGCGGGTTGCGGGGTGGGTCGCGAGTGGGTCGCGGGTGGGTCGCGGATGGGTCGTGGGGTGGGTCGCGGGCGGGTCGCGGGGTGGGTCGCTGTTGGGTCGCGGGTGGGTCGCGGGTGGGTCACGGGGTGGGTCGCGGGTTGTTCGCGGGTTGGGTCGCGGGTGCGTCGCGGGGCGAGTCGCGGGGTGGTTCGCGGGGTGGGTCGCGGGTGGGTCGCGGGTGGGTCGTGGGTGGGTCGCGGGTGGGACGAAGACAACACGCAACAATAGCGCAACAACGCAACAAGCAGAATCCTCAAGACGGGTCCCCACTTCAGCCACGCATCCAAGGACAATGAATGATCGTTCGGCCCCCTCACCCTGACTCTTTTAGACAGGACATTTAAATTTGTAAACCTTGGGGTTGTCAACTCCCTTGCTCGCGCAAATGTCAACTCCATTTCCTGGCGCTGGCTGGCGCATCGCTTCAACCGCGCTAACGCGCGCAAGCTCGCGCGCTGAGCGGCCAGCTAGTTTGGCATGACCGACGCGGCCGCGGTGGCGCTGACCGCTGGGACCTTCCCAGCTGGCATTTCCGTGCGAGCCGGTGATTTGGGCGGGCATGGTATCATGACGACGTCGGCAACGGTAGTCAAGATGATGATGGTACCGATGATGGTAACGACGATGACAACGAAAACCGCAGGTCCAACAGAGGCGCCGGTGCTGATCAAGCCGATGACGATGGCGGTGTCCTCGCGTCGGTGATGAAGTTTTGGAGAGAGTTCAACATGCGCGCGCGGCCGACGCGTGCGAGTGGCCAGCATGGTATAACTTGACACGGACGAAGCCCCCCAGCACGCGCGCAAGGGCGTTCGAATGATTTCGACATGCGGCGCGAGAGGTCCGTTTGGTCGAATTTGATTGACAGAATGAACAACCTATGGTTTCCAAGAATACGCAAGAGCGCGTGCAAACCTTTTTATCGACATCCCTACGGCATTCATGATTTTTGAAGGATTTTGGCATGCGCGCGCGATGACACGCATGGGCGCCCCTCACTTCATGTTTTGCGAAGGGGTTCTTCCGACAGCGCGCGCGCAAATGCGCTCGAACGATTTCGACATACGCGCGCGCGGGGAAAGCTTGGTAGTACTTGATGAAAGTGATGAACAAACGGCGATTGTCAACATAATTCGGTAAAGCGCGGGCGCAGGCCTATTTGAAAGCGCCTATTGCGAAACTATTGTGTTCAAAGTTTCGGTATACTTGATTTTGACATCCTTACGAACCCGACGGGTTCCCAGGATTCCGGCATGCGCGCTCGACGACGCGCGCGTGCGCACTTCGTCCCATGTTTAGCAAAGGTTCTTGCGGCAGCACGCGCGCAAGGGCGCTCGAATGGTTTTAACATGCGCGCGCGAGAAGCACGTGTGGTAGCAAGTGGTGAACATGTTGAACAAGAAAACTGCGGTTGTCTTAGGAATTCGCTAACGCGCGGGTGCATTTTTTGTTGGGAAAATCGCCGAAAGAGAACCATTGGGGCTTGTTTTGATCATCGTCTTCGGTGTGCTCGATGTTGTAAACCTTTCGAAACCTCATTTGATACATTGAAGGGATTTCGGCACGCGCGCGCGACGACGCGCGCGCGTGCAAGTTGTCCCCGATCTTTGCAGGGGATTCATGCACATTGATGATTTGTGACAAACGATTGCGCGCGCATATTGTTTTTTCTCTGGCGGGAGATGACGTGGGGGCGATACGGGACTGCCTTGGATGGTATGAATTCACACTACAAGTGGAATTGTGTGCAGATTCATACACGACAAACAATACGGAAAAGGTGGACGGTTAAGTCCAAGGAAGGAGGTGGATCCGAATAGGCGTGCACTCTAAGGGGTGCAATCTGTGTAGTGCAACAAATGCTGTACACTTATGTGGTGCAATCGACGTGGTGCAATCTCTGTGGTGAAATCTATGTGTGTGGTGGCATCGACGTGGTTCAAACTATGCGATGCCATCTATGTGGTACAACCTACGTGCAATCAATCACTTGCTCAACTTGAAGCTGTCCTCTCCACTACTCGTGCAAACATCTCACCCTCCCACCCGCAACTTGGCCCCAAGACCTCTTAAGACCGTGATGGTGGGTACCAAATGGCACTTGGCAACGACACCGACGCAGACGACGACAGCGACAACGACGACGACGACGACACCGACGACGACGACGACGACGACGACACTGACGACGTCTCCAACGACTTCGACGACGAAGACAACGACGACGACGACAACGACGACAACGACGACGACGACGACGCCGACGACGACGACGATGACAACGCCCACGACGACGACGACGCCGGCGACGACGACGGAGACGACGACGACGACGCCAACGAAGACGACAACGACGAGATAGGAGAGACGACGACGACGGCGGCAACGACGACAACGACGAGGGAGGAGGGAGGACGACGACGACGCGAACGACGAAGAAGGAGGGAGGACGGTGACGGCGACGGCGACGACGACGACGCGAACGACGAAGAAGGAGGGAGGACGGTGACGGCGATGACGACAACGACGAGGGAGGAGGGAAGACGACGACGACGACGACGGCGACGAAGGGAGGGAGGACGACCACGGCGACAACGACGACGGAAACGACGACGACGATAAGACGACGACGACGAGGAAAGACAGAGGACGACGACGGCGACGACGACGACTACGAGGGAGGACGGCGACGACGACGACGACGCAAGAGCGCGCGCGCACGCTTGTGTCGAAAATCCGTGTTGCCAAACCCTGTGTTTGTGTATGTGTTTGGACACTCGACTTTGCGATTTCGAATTCATTCCTAAACCGCAGATGTTTCGAAGATTTCGGCATGCGCGCGCGACGACGCGCGCGTGTGCACCTCGTCTCATTTGTTGCAAAGGATGTTTGAGAACTTATGATTTTTGATAAACGAGTGTGCGCGCATAGTATTGGGTTTTTGCAAAAAGGATGGCGGGGGGAACTGATACTGGCTTGGCTGGGATATCATGAACTCACAAGTAGGATAGACATTGGATCAGAACCCGATGTGTTTTACATAGGTTCTGGGGGAATCTTTAACACCCGGGCGGGAGGGTGGTACAACCTTTTTTGTATTGAATAGGAGAACCCATGTGGTGCAACCTATGTTGTACGATCTAGGCGGCGACGGGGCTGCGACTAGGCGGCGACGGCGAGCACGGAGCTGCCAGACCTCCAGCCAAGCCCAGACAACTGACGAACACGAGGCGGCGACGGGGCGGCGACTAGCACGGAGGCGCCAAAGCGCCAGCAGGGCCCATCTCCATAGCAGAAGCGGAAGAAGGCCAAAGTGCGAGCACTGTTTAGGGAACACGATGTGCACCCGAAAAAAACGTATCGAGCGGATTGCATGGATGGAGGACTCGCCCCCTCTCTCGATGAAGGGGCCCTGGGACACACAAATAAATACACACAAATAAAAGGATTCCCCATATTTTCCCAGATCTTCTGGGTTGTTGTCTTCCCCCCCACTTCCCATATTTTCCCATATTTCCTGAGGAATCGCCAACTAATTGTCTGTGTGTTTCTTTCCCCCCTCTCTCGAGCTCTCGCCTGCACGCAAGGAGCGACCCTGGGCAAGAGCGTGACCCCTGGTGCGCGGCCTCCGGGGGGCCATAGGGGGGGCCAGGGTCCACACGCGCACGCCCGTGCAGGGGGGACCCCTCGTGTCGGGTGTTGCTGGAGGTGTCCCTGGGCCAAGGTGCCCCCAGGATTCTCGGGGCAACCCAAGCTTACCAGCCTGGAACATATCCGATATCCCTAAGCTGGGCATCGCCTCATCAAGATGCCAATCTTAGGTATTCCCTTAGTTTTTCAGGGCGCGTCCCTAAGATTGTCATCGCCTTTTGGCGTGTCCTTTCGCAAAACGTGGTTTAGTGAAAACGACCTCGGGCCCAAACCTAGCGAGCGCAGGTCTGGAAAATAACGGCCGCGGCGCCCTCTCGAGAACCGAAAACGGACAAATCACTAATCGACGTGTCATGGTGGGGGGTCTGTCCACCCCCGATAGAAGTGTCCCTGGGCCAAGGTGCCCCCAGGTTTCTCGGGGTAGCCCAAGCGGCTTCCGAAGCACACCTCACGAGGCCCAGAGGGCCCCAGGGGCTCCAAAATGGAGCGAAAAGCTGGGGGCACCTTGGGTCAGGGGTACTTCTAGCAACACCCAATCGTGGGCCCGCGCTCAAGATCGCTCCGGCGCGAAGGGTCAATCTTACGCAGCAATATTTAGGGGGTTAGGGATAAGGGGGGAAGCGTCGACCTGGACTCGGCGATACATCGCCGAGAGATCGGCGATAGGCCCCCGATAGTGAGTCCGCACCTTCCTGGACGGGGTGGGGCAATCGGGCACCTATCGGCGATCAATGGGCGATTGGGGGTCGATGCATGCCCCCTTATGCCTGTCCCCGCCTTGTCGTTGCCACCGAGCGATAGTCTGCAGAGTTGTGCGGTGGAGTGGTCGCCGGTGCCGCACTGTGCAGGTCACTGGGGCCTTCGCCTTTCCGGCAGTCGGTCGCCGCGGCGATAATGAGCCACCTCTGATCGCTCTTGAAGAACTCGCCATCGCTCGGACGCCCATTCCCTGTGTTTTTGTTTCGGTTTCGTGCGTGTTTTTTTTCGCCACATGATCAAGGATGCTCCTCGATGGCCCTCGCCGAAGGAAAAATGCAAACGTCCGAGCGATGCCAAGACACACGCACAACCACACCCCAGTCATCATGGCCCTCTTGACCGCCTTCGATCTTATTGCAGCATCGGTAGGGCATGTTCGCTCCACTCTGGTCGTCCTCTTTCCCCGGAGCCGCTTGTCTGAGAGGGTCCTGCAGCGTTCTTCCAAGAGCCCGGTGGGGGGATGCTGGGCCCCGGTGTCCCAGCGCAGCCCCCCATCGTGGCGCCCCGCCCGAGGAACTGTGAAAGCTGCTTGCGGCCTTCTGCAGCCACGGTGTCATCGTGTTCTCTTCCCCCTGGTCAGTCGATCGCCGGGAACGTCCTGAGACTTTCTCTGACCAGGGTGTCGAGGCGGATGCAGCCGAAGCGGCGAGGGCCCACTGCCGATGCTCGGAAGAGTCTCGAGGAGGTCAAGCTCCCGCCCCAAACCTTAGGGGAACCCAAAATGACATAAGCATAAAAACTCAGAGGTTCGCGCAGATTTCTTGGATCCGCGCTGGACACCCCCTCCCTGGCGCGCGGAGCGCGCCAGGGACGGCGCCCGAAGCGCCGCCAGGGGGCCCCAGCGCCAATCCGAGAAGTCCGCGCGGACCTCCGAGTTTTTATGCTTATGCCATTGTTCGTTCCCCCACACCGTTGCTCTCCTCCTGCGGAAGGAGCGCCTCCGTTTCACGAGCCCCCGGGCGGTCCCAGTTCCGCACGATGCCCTCCGAGCCGCGACCACGCTGCGCCTGGCGTGTCTCTCTGGCGCGCGAGACCGTCGGGGAAGAAGGGATGGAGAGAGGAGACGGAGGGAGCAGAAGGGGGAAAAGAGAAGAGGGGAGAAAAGAGAGGATCCCTGCTGGAGGCAAATGCTGGGAAATGGAGGGCGAGATAAAAGGCAGGGGGCAGGGGAGAGAGACGGAGAGGGGAGAGGGAGAGAGAACGGGGCAGAGAGGACAGAGAGGAGGGAGAGAGATGGAAGGGGGCCAGAGAAATCGATGTAAACAGAAAGAGAGAGAGAGAGAGAGAAAAAAAAAACAAAGAGAGAGAGAGAGAGAGAAATAAAGGAAAACAACCACAAATGTATACATCGAAGGAGAGAGAGAGAGAGAGAGAGAAAAAAAAAAAAAAAGGGAGAGAGAGAGAGAGAGACAGTACTATATAAGACAAACACATCGAGAGCAGAGAACAACACAAGAAAACATGAGGGGGGAAGTAAGAGACAGAGAGGGAAACAGATATGGGATAGCGTATCAACACGTAAGTGTAATGTTAGCCAGCGTAGACCGTGAACAATGTGTTCTAGCATACTATGGGGTGCGATCTACGTGGTACAGGTGTACGTGGTGCAATATATGTGCCACAATATGTCTACGTGGTGCAACAGATGTGGAATAGCTTATGTGGTGCATTCTACGTGGCGCAACACACATGGCGCATCATATGTAGTGCAATATATAGGGCACAATTCACCCCGACGAACTTGAAATTGCCAACTCAATTGCTCACGCAACCCAGCCGCAATCCGCTTTGCGAAACCCATGCGGCGGCGATTGCGATACCTTGTCGGCGCTGGCTGGCGCCTAGCTTCGGCCGCGCTAGCGCGCAGGCTCTCGCGCGCAGAGCTGCCAGCTAGTCTGATGCGACCGACGCGGCCGCGGTGGCGCTGACCGCTTGGGACTGCCCAGCAGGTCCCGCAGGCCGCGCAGACACGCGGGCGCTTCAGTGTGAGGGCGCGATGATGATAGTAGCGATGCTGGTGGCGACGATGACAACGACGACCACAAGGCCAATGACGGCGCCGATGCTGATCACGCCGGTTACAATGATGGTGTCCACTCGTCGGTGATGAAGGCTTTGAAAGGATGAGGGCTTTGAAAGGAATTCGACATGGGCGCGCGGCCGACGGGCGCGAGTGCCCCGAATGGAATCATTTGATAGGGTCGTACCCCCAGCGCGCGCGCAAATGCGTTCGAATGATTTCGACATGCGCGCGCGAAAGGCCCGCTTGGTCGGAATTGATGACGTTGCTGAAAGCCCAAATTAGGTTTTCTTACGAATGCGCACGAGCGCGCGCATACCTTTTTGTGGCAACTCAAGTTGCAAAACCACTGCGTTCTCGTTGTTTTTGGGACAATGGGTGTCGAAATCCTAAAAGAACTGTGGTTGTTTTGGAGATGAGGGCATGCGCGCGACGTCGCGCGCGTGTACTTCGTCCGTTGTTGTTGTTGGTGTTGTTGTATTTTCATACTACACCAAAACGTATATACACATATTACGCAATGTGTAAATATAGATATGCGTGTACATAAAAAATGATTGACAACTTATGACTGTTGGTTAATAAGTATATGCGCATAGTGTTGTTCGGCGAGGATGAGGAGGAGGGATCGAATCTGGCCTGGATGGCAAGGTACGAACTCACTTTCCGAATGAAGACGGGGTAGAACCACATGTAAACATCCCCAGCGGGGGATCAACTCGGGGGGAAGGTACATCCGATTTCCTTCTAAAATAATCAAAATCTACATTGTGCAACCGATGTTGCGCAAAGCAATACAAAACATTCCAAAACACTGCGATTGCAATGCACTTTCAATGCGGTTGCACTTCAAAGCAATGCAACACAATGCAAAGCAATGCAAGCCCAAGACACGAGCGGCGGCGAGGCGGCGACGGGGCGGCAACGGCGACCACGAAGCCGCCAGACCGCCAGACATGCCCAAACGACGGGCGGGACGCAGCGGCGACGGGGCGGCGACGACGACCACGGTGTCGCCGGACCGACTGACAGGCCCAGACGAAGGGCGGCGACGAGGCGGCGACGGCGACCCTAATGACCAAGAAGTAAGAACATCTAAGTACAAGAACTGTTTGGAAGACATATGGATACGTACACACACATATATATACATATATATACACGTGGAGAGAGAGAGAGAGGGAGAGAGACGAAGAGACAGAGAGAGAGAGAGTGAGAGAGAGAGAGAGCGAGATGGAACGTGCAAGAAAGAGAGAGTGCCGATAGGGAGCCTGTGGCTGCGGCCGCGCCGCGGACAGGGGAAGGGAAGAGGGAGGAGGATACCTGTTTTTGTTTTCTATGGCGGTTTGACCTTCTTCCGAAAGTCTTCGGAGGGCACCACAGTTGTTTATGTGCTATCATCTCACAAGCGCCTGGACGGTTTTCGAAAGCATTCGACGGTCGTCTAGAGTGTTTCGTCACATCTTCATTGGTATGAAGAATTTGCCAACGTGTTTCAGATGTGCTCTCGAAGGTTTACACCAGTTGTACGAGATGCCCATCGGTCTTCGAACATGTCCCCGAAGGCTTCCCAAGGCATTTCGGGGATTCATGGGGCTTGCCAATGGTGTCATTGAAAATTCCCATTGCTGCTCAAAGATTTCTGTATTGTCTAAAAGCAAACAGTGCCTGGACTCTGGGCTGTCTTACCTTGCCGTCTGAGGAACTAGGCCTGCGGGCCGATCTGGCCACCATGTGCTCGCCGTCGCCGCCTCGTCGCTGCCGTCGCAGCCCGTCGCCTGGGCTTGCGGGCCGCTCTGGCCGCCATATGGCCGCCGTCGCCGCCTGGCCGCTGCCCGTCGCCGCTGCCCGTCGCAGCACGTCGCCTGGGCCCGCGGACCGCTCTGGCCGCCATGTGGCCGGCGAGTCGCCGCCTAGTCGCCGCCCAACGACTCGGCGCCGCCAGCGTTGCAGTGCTTTGCGGTGGTTCGCATTGCGTCGCAGTGCTTCGCATGTCTGTGCATCGCTTTGCATTGCTTGGCATTTGTTTGCATGGCTCCGCATTGCTTTGCATCATCTTTTGCATTGCATTCGCACTGCTTGCAATCGCACAGCAGTGTACTGACTTGCACTGATGTGTAATGTTTCGCATTGCTACGCAGTGCTGGACACTGCACTGCATTGCCCTGTATTGCTTTACACTGCTCGGCACTGATTTGCACGGCTTTGCATCGCGTTGTATTGCAGTGCTTTGATTCGCATTGTCTTGCGTTGCGTTCTATTGCTTTGCGTTGGTTGGCATTGCTTGCGTTGCTTGGCATTGCTTTGCAGTGCGGCGCAAGACTTGCATCGCGTGGCGTTGCATTGTGGTGCTCTACGTTGCATTCGAGTACGCTGAAGTGCGTTACTTTATTTCGTTGCGTCGTACTGTTCTACGTTATTTTGCACTGCTTTGCACTGCTTTCCCTCGCAGTGCATTGCTGTGCGGAGCATTGCCTGGCAGTGCGTTGTGCTGCTGTGCGCTGCTTGTCACTGCTTTGCATTGCTTGGCATTGCGGGACATGGCATAGCGTCACATAGCCAGATCACGTAACTCACACACTGCAAAACAAACAGCGCAATTATAGACCGCACCACATAGCGTTCACCACATATATCGCACCACATGTATTGCACCACCGAGATTTTATCACATAGCTCACAAACCATAGATCGGAACCACATAAATAGCACAACGTAGAATAACAACACAGCTCGCGCCACAGACACGAATACGTTAGTTCCTACCGAAAATGTTGCACCACGTGCCATAAACTACATAGATCACACCACAGTAACTGTACCATATAATTTACACTACGTAGCTTGCATCCCGTAGATTCTTCTTGTACAACGAATAAAGCAATATACCCCCTTTCGCCCCTCGGACTTAACGGGTCACCTGTTTCGTATTGCGCTCTACATACGATTCTGTCACATCGACTGTCCAATATATGAAACCATACCACCCCAGGCGATCCTCCCCTCATCTCTGTCAAATGATACTACGCGCGCGCCTTCATTGATCAATAATCAGGATGTAAAAACCCATCGGCAAAAACAAACAAAAAAAACAAAAAACGAACAAAATAACACGCGCGTGTCGTCGCCCGCGCATTCCGGAATCCAGCAAAAACCTTAGGTGTCGTACGGATTTCATAACCGAGTGCCCCGAATACAATTGAAAATATACGGTTTCGCAACACGGATTTTCAAACAACGTTCGCGCCTGCTCTCATGCGAATTCTAAACAAAAGCCAACAAATGTTCAACATGTCCGTGACATGCTACCAAAGGAGCTTCGCGCGCGCATGCCGAAATAGATCGAACGCCCTTGCGCGCGTGCTGCCGCAAAAACCACCTGCAACAAAGTGGGACGAAGTTTACACGCGCGCGTCGACGCGGGCGTGCCGAAATCCTAGAAAGAACCTCAGGTGTCATAGGAATCGAAATGGAACGTCCCGGATTTTTCAAAAAAAAAAAAAAAAAAAAAAAAAAACGACAACAAAAAAAACATACGGTTGCGAATCATCAGTATTCAAAAATGCCGGTGCTCGCCCTATTGCTACGCCTTCCGAAAACAATAGGTGATTCAACATTGTCATTTGCGCGAGCAGTGGCGTTGACAACTCACTGCGAGCAGAAATTGATTATCCTTTTTAATTAGCCTGGCGAAGGACCCAACCATATGCAGTTGCGAGTACCGCAATTGTGGATATCTTATTCGGTGCCGCTCCCTATGGGGCCACGAACCGTATGAGGGGTGTGCCGGAATGTGGCGGGGCACACAACGCAAAGGAATACGAAAAGCCGAATTACGAGAGACTGAACGCGGGTGAGTCAGAGCGCGAGTGAGTCTGAGTGTGAATAATGAGTCTGCGTGGGAATATATTCGCGTGGATGCGATCATGGCTACGCCTAGTGTGATGTATACGAATGCGAATGGTTCAGGCATGCCTGTCCGAACACTCGTGACAATGAGCGTGGCCGCCGCAGGCAGCTTCCGCGGGAACCCCGACGGCAGCGCCCGCGCGCCGCGACGCCCACGTCGGCACGCCCCTCACGAGCATCGCACCCGCTTCCGTCCCTTCTTTTCCTCCCTCTTTGCCTGCGCACTCCAAAACATCAAAGCTGCGGGAACAGCGCAGCGCGGAGTCCCCGCGACGCGCGCAGGTCGCCTTGAAGGGGTCCCAGCGACGCGCGCGGATCGTCCGCTGCGCAAAGAAAAGAGAGCTAGCTGGCTGGCTGACAGCGGGCAAGGCTCTGGTCGCCAGGCAGAGCGACGACGGGCGAGCGAGGCGCCGGGCAGGGCGCAGCACGGAGATCCCACGACGCGCGCCGGTCGCCCCGGGAGGGCCCCAGCGACGCGCGCGGGTCGCAAGCGGCGCGAGGCCAGACGAGTAGTTCGACAGTCGAGAGAAGGCGCGGCTCGTGCGGGGCGCTCCTCAGGTCAGGCCTCGCGGATAAACTCGGTGAAGCCGAGCTCCATGGCGAGGGCCGTCGCCTCCCTTCTTTCGTGCGCGCCGCAAACTGCTCCAGCTGCTTTCGCAAGCCCTCCGGCGGCCCTGCCAGGAAGAACTCGATGCGCGACGCCCGCATGAGCAGGAGGCCCTCGTGGCGCGTGGCGCGCGAGAGCAGCACATAGAGCTCAGGCCACCAGTCGTCGCCCTCCTTCTTGCCGTTCCCGACCTCGCGGCGGCCGCAGTCCAGGATCGCGCCTGGGCGACGTCGGCCGGGAGAGCAGCGCGCCGGACAGCCGACGGCCCAGGGCGAGAGTCCACGGGATCGAGGTCTGGCTGCGGACTGCTCGCGCCCAGAAGGTCTGGCCGTAAACTGCCCCAGAGCGCTGTTCCCTCGCCCCGCCGCCTTCGCGCATGGCGCGCCCCTGGCGCGCCGCCGTGGTGATGGCCCTGCCGCGCGAGAAAGGGAAGCCCGTTCGGGTGACCTTGGAGGCGCGGAAGGTGGACGGCTCCGACGTACGAGGCTCGATGAACACCAGCGGGCCCGTGGTCCCCCGCGAGGCTGTCGTCGTGGCGCTTGAGGTCGTCCACGAAGGGCGCGCACGTGCACTTCTCCATGCGCACCCAGAACCCCAGCGGCAAGTGCTTCAGATAGATCCTCTTCTCCCCGTCTCCCTCGGCCTTGTCTACGTCGTCCCGATCTCGAGGGTCCACGGCGATGTGCGCGATCTGCCCCTCGGCATCCGTGACGAGGCCGTTTTTGAAGTCCAGCGCCACCCGGAACCGGATCCGCATGCCCACGTGCACCGGGAGCAGTCCGTGCATGCCACCGGTGTTCTTCGGGTTGGCACAGTTCATCATCTTGGCGGCGTCCTTCCTGCTCATCGTCGGGGCAGACCTGTCAGCGGCCTGCACGAGGAAGGGGGGCTTCTTCAGGACGTCCGCGTCCAGCTGGGCACGCATGTTCGTCCAGCGCGCCACGGTGTCCCAGTAAGACCCAATCATGTGGCCGTTCTGGAACCTTTCCTCCCGGAGTCTACGATCATCGGGTTTCAGCTGCATGGCGTTCCACGTGGCCCGGATGGCCAGCGGGACCTGCTTCCCCGGCTTGCGCAGGAACGCCATGAGGTCCCTCAGTCTCGGGTCCTTGAAGCGGTTGGACGCCTGGAGCTGAAGCACAGCGGCGTGTTGCAGAAGAGCTTCATCACGGCCTGGCACTCTGGAGCGAGGTTGATGCCCGCCGCCGCGAGTTCCTCGAAGCTGAAGATGAGGGACGCTTTGCCTCCCGTCGGCTTCAGCTGCAGGAAGTCTCGCAGGTGAATCACGATGGGCATCCGGCCGAAGGCGCCGCCGACCTGGTCGTGCTCCCGCTCCTCCGCGCCCAACTCGGCCTTGCGTCCCAGGTAGGACCGGAATGCCACCATGTTGTACAGGCTGGGCGAGAGCATGCTCACCTCTTCCAGAATCAAGCACCTGACCGCCTCCCACGTGTCCTGCAGCGCCTTCAGCTTGCCCCCCGCGGGTATGTCCTTGTTCCTGAAGGACTGCACTCCTATGACTCCCGCCCGGTGGCAACTGACGGCCTTGTGAGCGTCCGTGGAGATGTTCGCGGCCTGGGACCACTTCGCGCAGACTATCAGCGTGGACGACTTCGCCTTGCCCGGTTCCACAGGGAACAGCGCATCCATGGCCGGCAGCACGATCTCCTGCACCATGGCGGTCTTCCCGCTGCCGCCCTGGCCCAGAAGCAGGAACTGGAACGTCTTCCGCTTCGCGTGCTTGGCCACGCTGCCGTCCTCGATCTTCTGCTCCTCGCCCCACACCACGTTGCAAGCGTTCGCGAACGCCGTGACGAACAGGGCCTGGTCGGGCTTCAGAGGGCGGCGTTCCCGCTTCCCCGTGCTCGGGTTGACCACGCCGTCCTCGAACTTTTCGACGAGGCGCTTGACGAGGTCGCTGGGCCGCTGCAACTCCTCCGACGGCTCCCACCGCGCCTGCGCCGCCTCGGCCGGCACCGCGCCAGCGCTCGCTGCCCCGACGTCGTCCCGCGCGGGGGCGTCGTCCACGGGCGCGCCCGCGTCCTTCGTGCCACCCTTGGCGAACCTCTTCCGCTAAGTCTCCACCAGGTCCTTCAGCTCGTCTGCGTCGAGGTCGCGCACGGCCCTGAACGGAGCGAGGACGTCCTCCCTCAGGGCGCGGGCAGCGCGCCGCGGCGCGTCGGCGTCGTTCGGTCCGGGCAGCGCGCAGTCCTCCATCATCGTGGCGGCCTTCTTGAGCTCCTTCACGAAGGCCTGCGTGCGCTCGGCGGTGTCGAAGCGCAAGATGTGCCCGAGAGTCTCGGGGTCGAAGCGATGCTCCAGGACCGCGTTGGCGCCCAGCTTCGAAGCCGTCCTGAGCGCGGATGCCCTGGGCCTCCACCTGCGCAGCGCCCGCCCCCGAGTCCTCGGCGCCCTCCCGGAACACGGGGGACTCCGCGACCTGCGCGTCGTCCTTCTGCGGCCTCTTCGGCTTCAAAGCCTTCGCCTTGGAGATGCCGTCGAAGTTGGCCGCGGTCTTCGTTGTCTCCAGGGCTAGGCACTCCTGCGCCGTCAGCATGCTGTCCAGCCAGTTGCCCAGCTCCGTGCACTGGGCGCACTAGCACGGAGGCTGCACGTCCTCGCGGCGGTCGCTGCGCTTCTCGCGCAGCGCGGACTCGACCTCCCCCGTGTTCCAGATGCTGGGAGTCGCCCAAGACCCTACGTCATTCTTGAGGCACCTCGCCCGGGCCGCCTTCGCCAGTTGCTCCTGGGCGGTGGCGAACGACTCCCAGCCGCGCTGGAACGGGCCCGAGACGCCCTCTCCCGCCTGCTGCGCCGGCCACTCCGGCTCACCCTCCGGCGCCGCGCACAGGTGCTCGCACGCGCGAAGGTAGCGCAGCTCCGTCGCGTCGTTGGGCCCGTCGGCGTCCGGCAGGTGCACTGGTCGGAGCAGCGCCGACTTCATGAGGTAGTGCGTCTCCACGTTCGACTCCACGCTCACGAACTGGAAGCCGTCGGCCTTCGGGATGCGCGGCTCGACGGCCAGCCTCTGAGTCCAGTTCAGCGCCGCCGAGTAGGACGAGTCGAAGGCGATGTCGACGTGCAGGGCGCGACTCCCGCTGCCCTCGGGATCCAGCTCCCCGGCCGGAAGGGCATGCAGCGGCAGTTCCACGCGGTGCACCCAAATGCTGTAGACGTACAAGCTCATGTCTCGGACAGTAAGGTGGTCTCCGCGGTGCATCCAGTCGTCGTGCTAGTCGTCGTGCTGGCTCAGCACTGCGCCCCTGAACTTGCCCTGCGCGAGGCCCTCGACAGTCGGCCCCGGTGCCTCCGGCACCTCTTCGGCCTCGCCTTCCCGCATCCTGTTCAGCGCCTTCGTAACTTCGCGCAGCGAGCCGCCGCTGGCGTTCGCGATCTGGAATGCCTGGTGCGCATACTCGATCGTGTCGAACTCCACGCCGTCGGGGCTGACGTACACCATCGCGCCCTCGCGCTGCACCTCGCGCAACCCCGGCATCGCCACCTGCTGTCCAGTGCCGGGGACTGCGTGCGTGATCGAGGCGGCGGGGGCGCTTTCCGCGGCGTCGGCCTGGCCCCGCGGCGAGGTAAATGCATTTCCGCATGAACACCTTCCAGCAACGGTGCGTCATGAAGGAGAGGTGCCCGAAGAGCATGGGGAAGATCATCTCGCTGCCGCTCTTCCAGGAGGCCCTGCGGAAGCAGGTCTCGAAGCGGGCCAACACCTGCAGCGTGCGCTTGAAATCCTCCCTGCGCTTTCCTGCGGCGGTCGACTGGGCCTCGTCGCCAGCGCCGCCCGCGGCCTGCGCCCCCCTGTCGTCCCACTGGCTCTTCAGGCGGCGCGCGCCGTCGAGGAGCTTGCAGAGCACGTCGTCCATGCTGGGGTTCACGTTCGTGGTGTACGAATTCACGTAGTAGCTCGTGTTGTGGGCGTCCACGAAGGTGGCCAGCGCGTGCCGCTCCAGGTCGCGTTGGAGATCGGCGCGCGCAGCGTCGTCACAGTCCACGGCGGGGCTGCCGCTGTTCGCGAGCTCCCTGAAGATCTCGCGCCAGTCGGCGACTACGACGAGGTCCACTTCTCCGCGGACGTGGTGTTCAGATGCTGAAACCACCCCCAATCCTCCCGGGCGCCCACCGAGAAGTCGGCGTAGCGCTGAGGGTAGAGGCCATGGTTGTAGCTCTTGCGGTCCTCTTCGTTCGCCAGCGGTTCCAGCTCCGACGCCTCCATCCGCAGGCGCGGGGGCAACGCCCGTCTCATGTCCTGCACGTCCACGTTGCACCGCGCCGAGACGACTGCCGCGTACTTCGTGGAGGTCTCCCCGGGGTGCTGGAAGGTGACGACGCGCCCGGCCATGCCGTTGTCCGTCTCCCGGAAGATGCCGATGCAGCCGCGCAGAGCCTTCCCGCGCGTGCGGAGCCGGCACTCTTCGGGCCACGTGCACAATGTCACCGGGTTGTAGAAGTTGTGGCGGCAGATCTGCGAGCCGCGCGTCTTGTCGGAATGGTACTTGTAGCACGAGGGGCTGCAGACGTGGATGCCGCAGCCGATGACGTGCTCGCGCGCGTCGCGGCACATCTCGCGAATCCACTCGTCGCTTGGGGGAGACTCCGCCAGGGTGCCCCCGCCGCGGTACCTCGGGAAGATGCCGGAGGCGCTGCTGGAGAGCGGCCGCCGCCAGTACCCTTTGTTCTCCGCGGCCCTCTGCTCTGTCCACGCCGCATCGCCGTCCACGGCCTCGCCGTCGTTGTTGCGCAGAGGCAGACCGGGGCGAATCGCCCTGTGGTAGTCGTCTACCTTGGGATCGTGGAGCCACAGCCCCTGCGGCTCCGTCTCGCCTTCGACCCCGAGCTGCTCTGCAGTCGCCATCTCCGCGCCCCCGTCGGCTCTGAAGTACCGCTTCTCGTTGGGCCCGAACGGCAGCGGCGGCACCACGACCCCGCACTCGTTCTCGCCCCCCTGCAGCTGCAGGGGGAGCAGCCCCACGGCGCTCTGCTGAGCGGCGACCACGGCCTGCACCACCTGCCGCATCCACAGGTTCAAGCGCCCCGGGAAGCGCGCCTCGTCGCGCTGCAGCATGTCCAAGAGCACGCGCAGCTGACCCTGCAGCAGCCAGATGAGGATGTGCGGGCGCAGCGAGCCGCGGCCCTGAGCCTCGACCGGACCGAAGGCCGCCGCCAGGGGGCCGAACACCGTGGGCACGCCCATGAGGTCGGCCGCCACGCCGTCGGATATCCAGTGTTCCGAAGCCTTTCGAACTTCTCCTCGCCGCCACCCGACGGGCTCCGGGCGCAGGCCGAGGATGTGGGCGAAGAACAGCCTCATCATCAGCTCGAACACCGCGGCCTGGCCCACGGGGTCCGCGGCGATGCGCTGCGACATCTCGCTGAAAAACCTTGCTCTGCCTCGGTCAGGTCGTTGCCGAAGGTGTACTCCTCTCCCTGCACGATGAGGATCAGGGGCTGCTTGGTGTCTGCCAGATTCGGGGTGGCGAACTGGATGGGCGGGCCGAAGCGCAAGGTATACGCCTCGCCCTCTCCACGCAGCTCCCGCCTGTGTCCGTCGGACCCGACTTGACTGGCGGTGGCCTGGCCCAGAGTGGCGATGGCCTTGCGCACCTCGTTCGGGGTGTCCTTGTCCTTGAGGATGCCGTGCAGCGTGGCCTTCCCGCCCGTCTGCTGCGCCCTGAGCTGCACCTCCTCGATCATCTCCGGCGCGATGCCCGCGCAGGCGCGAGCGGCCCCGAACGCCCCGGGCGTCTTCATGAAGTGCTGTTGGTCGTCTCCGTGACTCTCCAGAAGGAACACAGCAGGTGCACGTCGTACCAGGAGCTCCGGAAACGAATGATGGGCCTGGCCACGAACTTCTCCTCGTCGGCAGGCACGTCGTACTCCATCTCCTCCCACGTGAGAAGATTCTGGATGAAGTGCGCCGCGCTGAAGCAGAGCCGACCCTCCTTCTGCTTCTGCGGGCCCTCGTCTCCGTCACGGGGGAGCTGGCCGAGGCCCCAGGCGCAGTCCCCGTGGCAGAAGTCCGTGGGCCTGGCAATGGACCAGTACTTCGGATTCCACCAGCTCTCCGCCTTCCTCGAGGTGGGCACCCGAAGCCTCGCCTTTCGCTGGCCGTCGGGGCCGGGCGGTCCCTGCAAGGAGCGCGGGTCGTCCTCGGCGGGAGTCCCCGCGACTCCTGCAGGTCGCGCCAGGTCGCCCGCGCCCTCCTCCGCCTGGCAGTTCCTCGTCTCCAGCGCCTGGACGCGCCAGCGCAGCTTCGCCATGTCCTCCACAGGGAAGATCTTCCGACAGCGCGCGTGGAACTCCCGGCAGAGGTCGCGCAGGCGGTGACGCCCGATCTCGTCCAGCGGCAGCGCCCTATCCTCGCCCCCCTTTTCCTCGAGCCTGGACATCAGCTCGTTGGCCACCACGCGCCCCGCCTGACTCTCCATCCTCTCGAGCATGCCCTGGAGCGCCGGCAGGGACGTGAGCTCGCTGACGTCGTCCATGTGGTCCTCAAGGACGGACAGCCACTTGGTCAGCTCCTGCGCGTCCTCGGCAGCCGCGCTCATCTCTGCCTGCGCGCCAGTGGTGGCCGACGCGGGCCCCTGCGCCTGCGCGACGTCGTCCAGCACCGCGCCCGTGGGGACATACTTCGCGCAGGCCAGCATGAAGTCGGGCACGCCCGGCCGCGGGGGGGCCCGGTCCACGAGGTCCGATCGGTACTGCACGCCCGGGCCATTGCACGCGTAGTTGTGCTGCTTCAACAACGGCGCCTGGGCGTCGTACTCCGCCTTGTCGACGTGCAGCGCCACCTCCTCCCTCATGGCTTTCAAGGCCCTCTCCTGCTTCTGCTCCTCGGCCAAGGGGATGCCCTCCTCGTCGTCGTCGGCGCCCGCGAAGACGGCACGAACGTGTCCCTGAGCAAATCGGGATCCGGCGGGAAGCTCCGCGTCGCGTGGTCCACGTTCCCGCTCCCGAACACGATGGCGGTGCCCTGCGTGGCGTACTGCAAGCACTTCTGCCTCCACGACTGCTGCTCCTGCCGGACGGCCTCGTCGGCGCCCTTGCTGGACTGGTAGATCTTCGTGGACACGACGCGGCCGAGCGCGAGCAGCATCTGGTGCGCGAGAGCGGCCTTCCTGAGCAGCGGGCGGTGGCGGCCCAGCCAGAGGTCGTTAACCGGCGCCATCACCGGCACCTTGGGGTGATCAGACCACAGATCTCTCCGGCAATCGTCGCGCACTTTCACGGGAACCTTCCCTTCGAGCGCCTCAAGCGGCACGCGCCTCTTGTGCAAGAGTATATTCGTGGACGTCGGCGGGCCCTCGCAGTCGTTATGGGGGAAGTCCACGGCCGACGACATCAGCTCGTCGCGCGGTATGAGGGGCCATCGTTGGTGATGCCACTCGGCCGACAGGCAGTCCGCGAACTGGGCCCGGTCCTTTATGGTGCACTTGTCGCCGACGAGGCACTCCGAGTGGAGGTTCTCGGACCACTGCTGCATGGCGCAGCAGACGCAGGCCTGGAAAGCGCGGGGCCCCCTTCGCCTGACACGCCGCCTGAGCGCGGGCTGCCGACTCCGCCGCGCCGGCCGCGTGCAGGGAGATCTCCTCCGCGGGCCCCCCCTGCCCAATCTTGCCGATGATCCTGCCGATGATCTCCGCGTGGAGCAGCTGCATGCACCTCCGGTTCGGGCTTCGGGGCGAACGGCTCGTCCACGGGGTCGACGGTGGCGCAGCCATGGGACATGCGGAACCTGGCAACCACCTGCAGCGACGGCGGGGGGCACCGCCCGACCCCCAGCGCTGTCGATGCCCTTATCGCTGGCGCCGGGAGCGCCAGCGCTCAGGGCGCGTCACCGGGGGCTGGGCGCAGTTCCCCGCCGCCCGCTCACCTGGCGCTCCTCGGTCGGCGACGGCTGGTAGGACTCCAGCTCGCACCGCGCCACATACTGCGACTGGTACCACCGCTGCCCCCCGCGCACTCTGCCCTGGCGCGCCTTGAAGGCTTCCCTGTTGGGGAACTCGGCCTCGCACATGCGGCGGGCATAATGCAGCGCAGGCGCGGGGCACTGGAACCGCCCAGAGCGATCCCGAAGGCGCGCAGACATGCATGGCCGAGTGCCGGGGCGGGCCGCGGTTGCAGGGTCCGCGCTGCCACTCATCGGCCAGGTGTGCCCTCAGCGGGTTGCCGTCGCCCTGCGCGCCCGGCCCGTCGCCCACCGCCGAGTGGACCGCGGCCGCGACGGAGTGGGCGCTGTGGGCGGAGTTCAGACGCTCGTCCAGGAGCTCCGCGACGTGGTGCATGTGCCACTCCCCGTTCTCCAGTCGGCGCTTGGCGTCGGAAATCTCCCCCGCCGTCACCCCGAGCGCCCCCCGCAGCCTGCCGGCCAACTTGTCAAACCGATCGGGGGCGCGCAGGAACGTCACCCATCGGTTGGCGCAGTCGTCGCCGGCGAAGACGAAGAAGTCCGGGTAGTGCTACAGCAGGTCATCGGCGCTGGCCAGCGGCTCCAGCAAGTGCAATAGCAGGAAGAGGTCGCCGCACTCCCGGCGCGCGTCGCAAGCCGTCTGCAGGGACTTCGCCTCCTTGCTGCTGCGCACAACTGGGGCCGCCGCGTTGTTCTGGGCGATCTGCCTGGACCCGTCGTTGTCGCCCTTGCTCTTCGGCTTCCGCCCCTGCCGGAGCACCTCCTCCGGCTTGCAGTCGCTCTGCTTATCCTCCTGCTGCCTCCCAGCGCGGCTCCGGCCGCCCTGCCTCCCGTAGCGGCACTGCAGCTGCTGCCTCCCAGCTCGGCACTGCTGCCTCCCGGCGCGGCTCCGGCCGACGCGCCTGCCAGCCGCGCTCTGCTTGCCCCGGAGGCGGAGCCGCTTCTTGGGAGGGGCGCCGCTCCTCGCAGACGCCGCGGGCCGCTTCCGCGCGCCCGACAGACTGGCGTCGCCGGCCCCGCCCTCCTCCCCGCGCCCCCCGTCGAGGCTGGGGCTGCCCCCACCGTCCGCGCTCACGTCACCGTCGTCGCCCGCGCCCCCCGCGCTGTCAACGACCTGCCCGGGCGGCCACGGGCACTCCGCGGCGCGGGCCGCTCTGGAGCCCACCGGCTCAAGGAAGACCAGCACGGGCACGCGGGCATCGCATGCCGGGTGCCGGGCGGCCGCTGGGCCACGCGCGGGCGATCGCCCAGGTCGTCGGCAGTGCACCACTCGTCGCCCTCCACGAAGTGGGCCACGTAGTGGCCCTCGGGGCCCGTCAGGAGGCCATCAGGGGCAATGCTTCTTTCTTCGGGCAACTTGCACTGAACGTAAGAGCGCAGACGGTACACGACATCTTCCCCACCCACCTGCAGAGCCACCTCGGGCACGTCACCCCAGTCGGGGAGACTCCCGATGCCGCTCATGTAGAACAACGTGTCGCCACGCCTCCATCTCGGATCCACGTAGACGGCCAGCACCTCCGGCCTGGTTGCCAGTGCCCCCATGGAGGTGCCGCGTCGGATCAGCTCTCGCATGTTCAGTTTCTGCGTGCCCTCGACGATGCCCATGAACTGCTGAGGCGATATGGCGTCGTCGCCGTCGTCTGCTCCGCCCACGAAATACGGGGGCCGCATCGCAACCCCCCCCTCGCCGTTGGACGAGACGAATGGAAGAGACGGTGGAGACTCGGCGCGTCCTGTATCATGTCCACCAGCGCCCCGCTCGCGCTCGCGCATCTCCCCAGCTCGCGCCCGAGACAGTGCTTCGCAATGAACGCTTCCGCGAAGGCGTGCGGAGACCAGCGGTCCACGCGGAGGCGCGCACACGCCTCGCCGCCGTCGCCCTCCGCCAAGCTCGGCGGCACTCCGCGCGCGCAGTTGCCCGCCAGGTCGCGCATCTCCTCGGGGGGTCATCAAACTCACTCTCTGCGCCTTCGCGCCCCCCTGGCCCCTCTCTGCAGCCCCGTCTCTCTCTCTCTCTCTCTCTCTCTCTCTCTCTCTCTCTCTCTTTCCCTCTCTCTCTCTCTCTTTCCCTCTCTCTCTCTCTCTCTTTCTCTCTCTCTCCCTCTCCCTCTCCGTCTCCCTCTCCCTCTCCCTCTCCCTCTCCCTCTCCCTCTCCCTCTCCCCCTCTCTCTCTCTCTCTATCTCTCTCTCTCTTTTTTTTTTCTCTCTCTCTCTCTCTCTCTCTCTCTCTCTCTCTCTCTCTGTCTCCTCTCTCTCTCTCTCTCTCCCTCTCCCTCTCTATATGTCTCTGCATCTGCTTCTGCTGGGCGGGCGGTCCCCGGCGCCCGCCGGCGCTGTCTCGAACGGAAGGGCGGGCCAGCGCCCGCCAGATACAAAGCGAGAGATTAGCGCGAAACAGATTGCTCCCCGCACCGCATCCTGCACCACCAGCGGCTCGCCCTCGCCCCCCTGCTCCAAGAGCGCGGCGCGCGTAGCGGGGCAGTGGAGAAGGCGCTGCAGGGGCGCGTTGATGTAGCAAGTGTTCATAGGAGGTTCGAAACAAGCGTTCAGACGGTTCGCCATGCTCGGGCACGGGCGCCGGCCGCCGCGAGACCGATGCAAGGCTGGCCGCCTCCACCAGTCGTCGTCGTGGACGCCGTTGCCCTTGCGCCTGTGCTGCCGCTGCGCACGCAGCGCCTACTCTGCGCGCGCAGCGCGACGATCGTCCTGCATTGCTGCCTCCGACTGCGCCGCCAGCGCCTCGATGCGCATCTTCAGGCCCCGCGCGGCCGGCGTCAGCCGCGAAGAGGTTCTCCACCTGCGCCACTTCCGCGCGAGCTCATCTTCAGGCCCGTCATGAGTGCGCAGGGACATGCGGCGGTGCTGCTCATGCCAGGCCAAGACCTCGCGGAATGCCATGGCAGCCGGGTCCTGTCGGCCTCGTGCCGTTCGGGGAGTCGGCCCCTGGCTGCGCGCCGGCCCGGGAGGCCCCGGGCCGCGCGCGACCGCGGCAGGAGGGCCTGGCGTCTGTAGAGCCGCTTTCAAGGGGGCGCCGGGAGTCGGGGGCGGGCGCGGCGACGCCGCGCGCTTCCCCGTCATCCTGCGCCGAACTGGGCCCTCCTGAAGGCGCTGCGGCGTCCGCGGGCCGCCCTGCAGGACTTGCGCGGGATCTTGTTTCAAACGACGGAGCTCCGCGTGCCGATCTGGGGCGCGTTCGATCCGCCTCCGGTCCGCCGCGGCCGCGTGCTCGGTGTCCCGCAAGGGCCCATGCACATATTATCCTTGGCTCGATATCAGGCGGACTTGGAACTTCGGGCCCGCGGCACGTGTCTTCCGGACAACTCCGACCCTGCGTTGGGCCCCGTTTCCCTTCGGAGGCATCTGCGCGGCGCCCTCGGCAGCGCGCCGTAGGGGCCCCGCCGCCAGGAATCCCCCCGACTCGCGCCCGTCGTCCTGGGCGGGGAGTCCGGGCGACGAGCGGGGGTTTCGGGCGCGGCCAAACCGACCCCTACCAAACCATACCCTTTTTTTCAAAGACGGCGGAAGTGCGCAAACACAGGGAGCGAATGAGATCCTTCCTGAGAGCGTCGCTCACGCAAGACCGGGTCGCGATCCCAGGGGCATGCGGAGAGACAACTAAATCGAGACGTTTTGGAAACCACTGCACCAGTCAAGCGCTTCGAGGACGAACATGAACGAAAGCGCCAGCGCGGGCAGAAATCGCGCAACGGGCCGGCAGAAAGAACGACGCAAGATAAGGAACACGGCCCAAGGACAGTCATCGGGGAACGTCAACGGCGCATGAAATCCACGCGCTGCCTTCGAATGGCGTGACCAACGGTGGCCGGCCAGAGCGACGCGTCTGCGCTGGCACGGGCGTTTAGCATTCAAAATATCATGCCTCGGCCCTGCGCTGCGTAGCGCAACTCGTTCTTAATGCGAATCAGAGCTCCAAGGTGCGCACGTGATGCCGGTGAGCCGAAACGCGCGCTGAACCTGGGCGGCTAGGAAAAAACGCAACCACCCCCAAAACGAACATATCCCAACGAAGCAGTCGCATGCTTTGCGCGCGGTGAAGTACGACCGCCAGGGTTTGAACAGTCTTACAACATACCTGGCAAACCTTGAACGATTTCCCAAAAGTGATCGGCACACTCACGACACCAGAATTACAAATAAATCGTTTCGCTACTTCGGGACTTTGACAAAGGAACACCACGCCTCTTGTATATGGACGAGCAAGTGAAACGCCACCCACCCTGACGTACGCACACGCCTGCAGGGATGGCGAATCGAGCCAATGATGGCCCAAAGAGACGGTCCTCCTGTGGAGGGGTTTTGACAGCGCGTGCCCGCTACATATCAGGAGCCTCGAAAGTGCACAAACAGACATATCACAGGATCCACACTTGGCTCTATCGCAGAGCGCCCATGTCTGCGTTGGCAAGTATGGCTCCGGTGCCGAGCCAGGCGCATGAGTACGCGCGTGCTGCGCGACCAGGCTCGCGCGCCCCATGAAAGACTGCGGACGTTTCAAGGCATTGGCCACGCATCCCCACAGACGCAACACAGTACGTTGCACAGATTGAGGCAATGAGTTGCAAATACTGGGAACCAATAGTATGCCTGGGTGCAACGTGCCAGCACATGCCGCACAAACCGCACGTGCAACCCCCATCCCTCCATTTCCGCCTGATATCCCGTCCACATATTTCATATATCCTTCCCTCCCCTGCCGCCCCCGTTCGTCCTCCCCCTCCCCACCCTCTCTCGACTTCCCCCTCCTCCGCCCCCCTCCTCCTCGACCCCTGGCCCAGCTCGCCCTCGCGGCGGAGTGCATTGTGCAGCGCGTCGCCAGGCGAGGGGACTAAGGGAGGGAGGGGGGAGGGAGGGGGGAGGGGGGAGGGGAGAGAGGGGGGGGAAGGGAGACAGGGCGAAAGGCGCACACAGGGAGGGGGGCGTGGGAGAGGAGCCAGAGGAGGTAGGAGAGATACGGGGGGAGCGGGGGAGGGAAGGAATGTCGGAGGCAGGGAAGGAGAGGAAGAAACGAGGGCAAGGGCGACGCGGGCGAGGGGGGCTAATGCGAGGGGGGAGGGATGGGAGGGAAGGGGCACTAGGGAGGGAGGGGGCGAGGAAAAGCCAGGAAAGCGGGGGGGGGGGAAAAGGGCAAGGAGGAGAGACAGAGAAGGTGGGGATGTTGTGAGGACAGCGGAGAAGTGGACAGAATGGAAAGAGGGAGATGGCGAGAGGCCAAAGTGAAGAGCAAGGGAAGAGTGGCGAGGGGACGGCGAGGGAGGGAGAGACACGATGGAGTAAGGAAGGAGGAGAGGATGGCGGCGGAGTAACGGGAAGAAGATCGGGAAAGACCAGCCGGCCTGGACTCCCGCGGCACCTGCGACAAAACCTTGCCCTCCGCCCCCCAGCGAGGCCCAAGCTGCACTCGCGCGGCTTGCGGGGGCCGCGCGACTGTCTTTTGGGGCTCGCCCGGGGCGGATCCCCGAATGAAAATTTCGAATGTGTGGACCTGGAGCTCGTCGCGGTAGGGCATCATTTGGGCGCGCCCCAAACCGGAGGCTTCCGTGACGACCCCCCCCGGGACCCCCGCCCGTCTGTCTTGTTTCCCGACTTGCGCCAAAACCGGAGGCTTCCGTGACGAGCTCGGGGGGGCCCCGGGCGCAACCTAAACCGGAGGCTTCCGTGGCGAGGGGGCGCCCAAACCGGAGGCCACCGTGACGACCCCCCTCCGGAGGTTTCCTGGTCGGGGGCCCTCGGGGGGGCCCTCTCGGGGCCCTCCAGGCCTTCCAATGCAAGCTCGGAGGGCCTCTAGAGGGCTCCAAGAGAGCCTCAGGAGGGCCTCAAAATTTCAAATATATTGACAAACTTTGAAGCTCTCTTGGAACCGTCTTGAGCCCGCTTGAAGCCCTCCGGATCGCACTGGAAGGCCCTGGAGGGCCCGGGCAGTGCTCCAAGAGGGCCCCTATAGAGGGCCTCAAGACGGCCCTCAGCGAGCCCCACGAGGGCCCCAAGGGGGCCTAAGAGATGTCCAAGAGGGCCTCTTGTGCACGACCACTTGCGTATATGAACACTGCTGTCCATGACCACTCTCGTATTCAACTGCTATTGTATATCACCCCTCCCTCCTGGCTCATCCCTTCACCCTCATCGCTCCTCCCGATGATCAGGGCAAGTCGCCTGGTGATTTTTTGGACGGGCTGGTGGGGATACGCGGAACGCCAACAATTTCTGGAAGCCTGCCTGAGGGCTCAAGGGAGCCCCAAGTGGGCCCCGTGAGGCCCACAAGAGGACCTCGGGAGAGCCCCGCCTGGACCCCGAGAAAATCCAAAATTAGGACGCGCGCTGCATCCTGATTCAGGAATGTCTCGGGGTCCACTTGATGCCCCGTGGGGGCATTCTCCGGGACTTCCTGAAACCCGCCCGAAGCCGGAGGGAGCCCGCGTTGCCGAGAACTCGCTAATACGGCTTTGATAAAATCTAGTTACCCCCCAAGAGGGCCCAAATCCAATATTCAAAATGCTTTTTGGCTCTGGGCCATCTGGGGATCCATCCGGGGTCCTCCTGGAGCCCCCCTGGGGGTCTCCCCAAGGCCCACCCACGGCCCCCTCGAACCCATTGAGGGCCCCAAAGAACGCCCCAGAGGGCACCCATCAGAAGGGGTCCAAATACATGTATGTTTGGAGGGCCCG